ACAGTGCTCCGGTGTGCGTGTGTGTGTGTGTGTGTGTGTTTGTGTATGTGCGAGTATGTGTGTATGCGAGTTTGTATGTGTGTATGTGTGTGTGTGTGTTTGTGCACGTGCATGCGAGTGTGTGTGTTTGTGTGTGTGTGTGTGTGTGTGTGTGTGTGTGTATGTGCCTGCATCCACAACTACACTGCATATTTGGCAACCAGGGTACAGATGCAAACGCGGCCCCGGGCAGGGAATCCATCCCAGCTTGTCACCCACGCTTCTGTGACTAGGTCACAGGGCGATTGGCCATCTTGCCAGGTTTTGTCATTGACAATCGTGCAGAGCCTCGCCCATGTAAATCTTGTCATGCTGTGACAGGGACCTGTCCATTTGCGTGTGCATGACAAACTGTCAAACAACTACTTCTGAGCGTGTCCGTCTCCAGGCCACCTCCAGCGCTAAAGTAGATCTCAGTGAATGTACATGTAAGGAATAAACAAATACCCAATCACGGGGATTCTTGCCAATGTACCTCGTCCGTGCATGTTGCTATCCTGACTGGCAGGTAGGAACACATCAAACAATTGATGACCTAACGTCATGCTGTATGCGAAAGGGAATTATTCTGATTGAAATTCAGCATAGAACAATACATAATATATATCTTGCACTGAGAAAATGTTGGATATAAAAGTTGCCTCTCAGAGCAACTCTCTATCATTATCAACTTCTTTGGATGCGAAGTGATCGAGACAACTGAATTCAACTTCTTCAAAGAGAGGATATTATCTGCCAGCACTTAGACTCGACTCTGAGACCCTTTCTAAAGGCCAAAACCGTGAACTCAAGTCCAAAAGAATCCAGACATTCGGTAGCATAGAGCACCTAGTAGTCATGGAGTGTCTGTGCACGACGATGTGCGCTGTGCTAGTAAGTCTGCTTGCGCCAGGCGCCTTGTCTCTGCCTTTTGCGGGTTTAACTGGTGAGAGGCCAGTCACACAGCTTTCCAAAGATCACCAGCTTCTTGAAGGAGCTAGTCCACACGCCGCCGCCACTTCCAGTAACCGTATCATCGATGCTGTAACAACGCGTGGAAACACCGAACCAGTGTTCACTTCACCAGAGCGGAGTGTGGCCACTGATCGAGTTACGTCATCTCCACTCCTTGCCGACTTGTGGAGCGATGTCTTGGGACATCAACACAATAGATGCACCGTGTCCGACTCCGAGGTCTGCGTCGGCGGAATCCAGATGTACTGCAACCGGAATCTCCTGCTTCATCCCGTCAGCCCAAGACGAAGGTGCGACCAACCGTGCTACTTGCCCAGAAGAACTGTTGATCACGGAGGGTACATCAAGCGAGCTTGCCTCAAGGCACGCTGTCAGTCCAGCAAGGCTAGCCGCTCACGGTCGTGCGAGTGTGTCATGTGTGTCAATGGCGAAAAGGTCCGCTGGTCTTCCCACCCATGATCTTTCATCTTCGTCTTCTTCCAAAATCCACCTGTATGTCTTGAACAACAGTAGTATCTAGCATTATTGTGTTTTGCTGTGAATATCTCCAAATATGGATTGTTCTCACAGCTATAAACAATTCCTTCTTGATATGGCAAAAATGGTCTTCAAAGTATTTCCGTGTATTTCCAATTGTATCGACTTTATTTGAGCTAGCCGTACCGAAATGCCCGCTATGCTGTAGCTTTGCGCTGTTGCATCCCCGTCCTCATCGTGTTGAGGTGGCATTGTTTTGAGTACCGTATGATGTATTTCAAGTACTACACATGTTTGGAGTATACAATCATTCTAGCACTAAGCTTCGATTGACCAGCCTAGTTGCTGTACATATTCAGCCACGCGTATTTATGCAAAGCCACATCTGCTATAATTGAGTTCGACAATAAAACATAACGGATATTTACATTCAAAACATGGTTTTGAGCTACTGTGTTCGCTTCACTGACATTGGCTTGCGTACCCTCAACTCGGATAGATTACAAAGGATTGAACTAGCTGTGAACAAAAAATCCTAAACCGGAATTATGTAGTGGCTGGTTGCAAGATTGATAGGAGAGATTGCAGATTGACTGCAGTTTGAAATATTTTATAATTTTGTTGAAATAGCAGTCGGGAGAACTCTATAAACTAAAGTGAAATGGCAAAGGAAAAACAGTATGTAAAAAAAAGAAGCTGTGGCAAGGAGAAGGAATCACTGCGACCGCAACCCGTGGATAGTGATAGCAGCACATTAACCTAACCTCCTGACCACCCTGCTCAGCTGACAGCATGACTTGACAGCTTGACATGCTCCGTGGATTCCAAAGCCATGCACATTACAGTAGCTGACTGGGAAACCGTCAGGGTTTCAGATCAGAATTGATAAGATTTTTTGAAATGGTCATGTCTATTTCAATCAGATCTGTGGACAATTTCCATCTTTGCAATGGTATAGTTTTGTTCACTTCATTGTATGTGTTCCTGTGTATATCTCTGTGTGTTGAATATTGCCCTTGCAAATATGCAGGGTGTGGATGCAGCGAGTGTCGGTGGAGATCCGTTCGTGGATTCGGTCGGCCATGGTACCCACGTAGCAGGTTAGGTCACTCCAACATTCCTAATAGGAATGCAAAAATCAATCAGACTTATTAATGTGCTTTGTTGTGAATTGTGCAGAATATTTGCCCAAGTACTAAGGCGAATGAAAGATGAGAGGAAGCTAACAAAATCTTTATTGACTAAGGTTTACCACCTGGACAAATGGGATACTCGACCGGAATGAACGTTGGAGTGATTAAGGACTGTCTGGTTTTCAACTTGAGATCTCCGTGTACCGGTGAGCACAGATTGGGTGGGCCAACTTTGTATTATAGCATCTGGCCATGGCTTGACTGGCCTGAGGTATCATTGGAATCGGTACTTGTGGTGTGGTCAAATCTTTGAAGATTGTGTCTGTGTGCATTGGCAGGGGTGTAGCCAAATATTCCTAAATTACTGAAATGTTGCTTTCCGATGTGCTCCGCTTTGCAATTAGGTATCATTGGGAGCCGTCCGTTTGGTGTAGCCAAGTCAGTGACCATGGTAGCAGTCAAGGTGTTCAATGACACGGATCAGACAACAGATGCGTAAGCTTTGTATTCCTGTGGGTGGGTGTGTGTGGGGGGGGGGGGGCGGAGGGTGTTAAACAGCTAGCTTTCCAGCTGTTGACCTCTCATAATACCAGGCGCGTAGCACCGCCGTTGGCGGTGGTCCGGCCAGGGGGGTCGGGGGAATTTTTTGAAATTAGGGTTCAAAATCCTGCATTCTGGGCACTTTTGGCGTGGTCGGGCGAAAAAGTGGTCCGGCCAAAGCCGGAGCGGCCGGACCGGCTGCTACGCCCCTGACTACACATATAAAGAGGAGTGAACGCACAAATGCTGTTGTATTTCAGTCTAATGTAGAATGAAGCTCTGAATTCCAAGAGCCTGCAGCGTTGTTCTATTATTACAGGGCAAGAGAGAGAGAGAGAGAGAGAGAGAGAGAGAGAGAGAGAGAGAGAGAGAGAGAGAGAGAGAGAGAGAGAGAGAGAGAGAGAGAGAGAGGAGTGAGAGAGAGAGAGAGGAGTGAGAGAGAGAGAGAGAGTGAGAGAGAGAGAGAGAGAGAGCTGCAGAAATGTCTTCATCAACGACTGGTATTCTGCTTTTTATGGCCACTTAGATCTGTGATTGCTGGTCTCAACTACATATTTGATGATGTCATGCGACGCCAGCAACCATCCGTAATCAAGTAAGGAAGTGAAGAACACAGTGCAGAACACAGTGTACAGAAGTGCAGAACACAGTGTACAGAAGTGCAGAACACAGTGTACAGAAGTGCAGAACACAGTGTACTCCGCTTCTTACTGTGTACTCGTATGCTATTCTTAAGCACCATCATGCCAAGATGTTGGTCAAGAAGGCACACACACACACACACACACACACACACGCAACTGCCGATGTTCAAGCGAGTGCATGAGAACAGTAATCTGCTATCAAATACTAGTGATAGCTCCAGTTGAGTCATTTGAGTGTTGATTTGTGCACCATAATTGGGATGGTTTTGCTGTCCATACTTCATGGCTGCTGTGACACTCCTGCATCTATGCATTGTACGATGTTCATGTCAGGGGCGTGCTCGGCCCCCCAACTAGGGGGGTGCACGGGAGCCGAGGGGAGCCCCCCCCCCCGGCAATTTTCTGCAATTTGTTTGCAACCTTTCTTGAATTTTAGAGCATATTTGCATACATTACAATTGCAATTACCCAGATTGAAATTTTTGGGGGGGTGCATGTGCCCCCCGTGCCCATCGCCGAGCACGCGCCTGCATGTAGTTATAATAATACGACTAGTCCCCTGTTGCTCTCTGATATTGAGCATGCGTTACAACAACATGTCTTTGGTGAACCTTGAGTGAGCTTTGCTGGTGTGCCAGGGTTCACAACATAAAGGCAGAAGAGACAGGCGATCATTGTTCATCTGCATAGACGGTTGTCATATCAGTCAAGGCGTGTTATTGTTAGTGCTGTTGCGCTGTATTTGCAAGCTGTGGTTGGGGGAACATACAGCTGCTTGGCTGCATGATGTGTGTGGGCGAGTCCTGGGTTTGAAGAACTCATCAGATGTTTACGCTGTTTCACGGCCACTGTGTTCCTGTCAGCTTGTCACTGGGAGCGCGGGGCAATGGAACACACCGCGTTCTCAACATGGCCGTTGAATGCCTCATCAAAGCCGTAAGTTCCAACGTGTGCACACCACGTTTCATAGAACCATGCCCATCCGCACAGGGCGCATTGACCTACATGTAGACTCTATGTACCTAATTAGTTGGATGCCCATCATGATCCCATACAGGCTTACACACTAGGTGTTGACCAAGACCACCCAACACACATTGGAAAGTTGACCGAGACCCCCCCCCCCCCCCCCCCTCCCTCCCCCACACACATACATACATGTATAAACATGGCTGTGCCGACCAGGATCCCGTGCATGTGCTCATTGGTCTTGTGAGCAATAAGCCATACTGTTATGACGTATGCATGCAAGATTCAGTCCATGCAACTCGTGTATACCACAGCAGGAAACACCATCTGGTTTGTTCTAGGATAATTATAGACGCGTGAACATGTAAAGGGTGATCATGGAGAGATAAACTGCAGAGCCACGTCAGTGCTGTCGTGGCACTAATGGCGCTATGATACGCCAGTATAGGACTCATTGGCTCGTACCAAAGTAAGACACACGTCTGCCATGCAGACGTAATGCGGAAGAAGACTGATTCATCATGAGGTAAGACATCGTCACTCTTCGCCATGCATGTATCAAAAGGAACGTAGAACGACACACGTAGTAGAACGTAGATCGTAGATTGTACGACAAATATTCATAATAGATCAATCTATAACACATACCAGCATACACTGGTATATAAATAGACCAGCCCCGGCCGGGGTTACACATTTTAAACAGACTTTGGTACGGTGAACTTTGAGATACTCAGTGAATGAGTCACTTTATCCATGAGGTGGCCTTTCCCTTGCCACCACTTTAGCAAGCCATCCGAGAAGCGACGGCTTGTCTCTAGTAGTGACAGGAAACGATTATCTGCTAACCCCAGCCCGCCTCTCTTTTCTGCGCAGGGTGTTGTTGTGGTCGCCGCAGCCGGGAATGAGAACGAAGACGCCTGCCAGTCATCACCAGCTCTTCTGGCCAATGTGTAAGAGGTTTGCTAAGGAAAAGGGTTGGGGGAGGGAGGGAAGGGGTGGGGGCTGGCGTGTTCCATTGAAACCAACTGTATTTCCCCGTTCATAAGTCTCAGCCCCATGCTTGGGACCTCAATTTCCCGTTTTAATGGCAGTTAAACCCCGATTGTAAGTTGACCATCCCTTTTTTGTTCCGTTATTAGGTCTTAAATTGTCAACTTTTATTCGGCATGATACGGTAGAGCATGAAACCAATCATCAAGGCACTGCGTATGATATCACATGATCAGATTGCAGATGTATGCTTCTCGCTCTGTTGCACCTTAAATGGCCTACGACTATCTAAAAGCTGTGTTCATTAGATACTGTAGCCTTTGCCAAGCCCTAGATGTGAGCACGCAGGCCCAAAGAGGAGCTAAGCCATGCACTAGCTGGTCATATCTCATTTTTCCCATGCATGTGTGTGTGTGTGTGTGTGTGTGTGTGTGTGTGTGTGTGTGTGTGTGTGTGTGTGTAATTCTAGAATAACTGTGGGAAACGTGGACAACAACGATGTGAGGCATGCAAACAGTAGCTTTGGTTCATGTGTGGACATATTTGCACCGGTAAGTCAAAAATACATCATCTATTTTCCTGAGTTTAGCCCAGCACCAAAGACATGACTCATGAGCCACCCTGTATGGAGCCCCACAGTTGCAAGGCTGTTGAAAAATTCCAATCGCACTAAAAAACAACTCGTGCGGGGCTATGTTGATGCGTACTTATCGCTGGTGCGATGATCAACATAGCAGCTGAAACCATCACTGTGCCTTGTACATCCGTGAGAAAGTGAAAAAACATTTCCGACATCAAAATGATACATATTGCTAAGACCCTTCATCGATCATGTAGCTAAGATGAGAACGAAAAGCAGAAAACCTGGAAGAACATTTGCCTTGAAAAATAATTTCCCTAACCCCCACGCGTATCTTCCAAAACCGTAGGATCTGTGAGGCAGGGAGCTCTACATTTTGAGTCTCTCCGTATAATATTCCCTGGTCTTTAACAATGTTCCCTTAAAAAAATTAAAAAAATGTCTGAAAATCAAATGCTGGGTGGAAGTGATTCAAAGAAATGCCATAGTCAATCTGGCAGATAACAAAATCATGACTGTATGAAAAATGGGGGGGGGGGGGTAACAGCAATTCCTCCAAGGCAATCACCCGCTTAGACACAGTCAACCTCGCAATTGTAATGGCCGCCATGCTTCCAAGAGCCTGGGCAATATCGTCGCTTAGAGAGGTTTGGATCAGAGTATAACAACCTGCACGGATTGCTGCCCCATTGTGGACATAACAACGTGTCTGTGTGTGTACCAAGGGGCGTTGGACACGCAACGGTCACTACGGTATTGACCATACTACTCTCTATTTCAGGTACCCCGTGAATCAATAAACAGCACTGATTTGGGTTCTAAAGTTCGAAATATTTCAGTGGAGCGGACCCGATCCCACGGGTAAATTGTACTTCAGGTGGCTGACGGTACCACCCTGAAGCCACGGGTACATATTCTGTTCTCACTGCACGAAACTCGAGTGGAGACTGAATGTTATGATTCGCCGGCCTTTCGCTTTGTTCTGCTTTCCTACGCGACAGGCCGCTGTGGCTTGTTTTCAAACAACATCTGTATTTTGCTTTTCATGCGGCTGCCACAGGGTGTGAACAGTGTGTCCACTGGCCGATTGGCTGGATCATTTCGACTTAGGAATGGTAAGTTGGGCTGATGCAGTCCAAGTTATTTTTTATTTTTACGGGAGCGTACTTTTCTCTTCTCGAGAGATGAACGGTTTCATACATTTACTGCTTCTGCTGTCCAATGCATGCATACGTATTTTTGTAATTATTATTATGGTGATTCTCCAAAGGCTTCTCGCCTATCAATGGGGGGGGGGGGGGGGGGGGGAGGGGTCCGTGGTACCAAAGCTATAATTCAAATTGGCAAACATTAGCTGAGCAAAGACAGGATGTAGAAATAGTGCAGAACAAAGCTCTGTGCTTGAACACACAGCACAGAGCTGATTTGCCAGACACCACTGGTACGATACTCCAGTCCCATCGTTGGCATCTTTCTCTACTGACGTCTTCTCTTGCTGTGCGCTAGGCGATAGGAAAGGCGCAGTCGCTTTCACGACTGAAAGTGTATTATGCACTCCGAATGTTTGGGAATGTCATGGCTTGACAGTGACTGTTTGCTGTGCCCTCTCCACAGGTACATCGGTGTCAGCTGCATTTGTGGTAAGTGGAGTGCCTCTCATAGATAGCCTAAACCTGATCTCATTTCAGCTTCCTCTGTCGCAAGAAGGACTCGACAGGATTTGGCTCACGACCATCTCTCGGAGACCTATGCAAACAAATTGGGATTCTCTCACACTGTTTCTGGTTTTAAGCAACAAAAAAAAGGCTCGCTTGCTTTCTGTATGGATTACGGCATGTTGTTCTGTCCGCCCATGCATTAGTTTGCCACTGATTGTGCATTTGAACATCAATGTGTGTGTGTGTGTGTGTGTGTGTGTGTTTGTGTGTGTGTGTGCGTTTGTGTGTGTGTGTGTATGTGTGTGTGTGCAGGTGTGTGTATGTGTGTGTGTGTGTGTGTGTGTGTGTGTGTGTGTGTGTGTGTGTGTGTGTGTGTGTGTGTGTGTGTGTGTGTGTGTGTGTGTGTGTGTGTGTACATGTGTGTGTGTGTGCAGGTGTGTGTGTACATGTGTGTGTGTGTGTGTGTGTGTGTGTGTGTGTGTGTGTGTGTGTGTATGTGTGTGTGTGTGTGTGTGTGTGTGTGCAGGTGTGTGTGTGTTTGTGTGTGTGTGTGTGTTTGTGTGTGTGTGTGTGTATGTGTGTGTGTGTGTATATGTGTGTGTGTGTGTGTGTGTGTGTGTGTGTGTGTGTGTGTGTTTGTGTGTGTGTGTGTATGTGTGTGTATGTGTGTGTATGTGTGTGTGCAGGTGTGTGTATGTGTGTGTGTGTGTGTGTGTGTGTGTGTGTGTGTGTGTGTGTGTGTGTGTGTGTGTGTGTGTGTGTGTGTGTGTGTGTGTGTGTGCAGGTGTGTGTGTACATGTGTGTGTGTGTGTGTGTGTATGTGTGTGTGTGTGTGTGTGTGTGTGTGTGTGTGTGTGTGTGTGTGTGTGTGTGTGTGTGTGTGTGTGTGTGTGTGTGTGTGTGTGTGTGTGTGTGTGTGTGTGTGTGTGTGTGCAGGTGCAGGTGTGTGCACAAGGGCCGACACTTGTACATGTATGTGTATGTTAATGTATGTTTATGTATGTGTGCTTACTGTCACAGTCTGGAGTGGTGGCACGGCTCTTGGCAATATGCCCCTCTGCTAGTCCATCACAGGTCAAGGACTTCCTGTTGAAGAGGTAAGGTATTCCCAATAATATCAGTTTCAACCCTTAACAAGTACAATCACCGCAGGTTTGCATCTTACAAACAATGGACTTTGCAGGTAAACTGGTATTCCTTCTTTATCCCGTTCCCTCCGCAACCAGAAGAGACTCAGCTGGAGTAAACCATACAGTGAGCACAATTGAGTACAGTATAGGCAAGATAACATCAATCACTGTCACATGATCACTGTGACATGATCATTGTCACGTGATCGACGTCACATGATCATCGTCACATGATCATTGTCAGATGATGCAACTCCCGGCGACCGTGCCTGCAGTGAGGGTTTTTGTGTGGCTTGCCTCTGCATCTCACATCGCTTTTCTACACGTCGCTTTTCTACACATCGCTCTTTTTGGTTATGTTACCGTATCACCATGGGAAAATATGTTGCGCATTAGATAGGTTGAATTTACCATGAACCCAAGGTGTGGTGAAACATTGTGTGACTCGTGATATCCTGAAACAAAGTGAATGCATGCGAGTATGTTTACTTTTTTGATTGTTTAGGCAGCACAGTTGCACACTCCGGTTTATACACATCTGGTGGACCTTGTTTCCAGCCACGCGACTTCGTTTGGCCGTTGTTCGGGACGTTATGGGCTTTCAAGGCGTGATGGATTTTGCTCCTTTTCAGAATTGCATCTCATTGTTTGCGATGTAGTGCACCTGACTGGACAGAACACCGCACTGCGCACGGTCAGCCTTGTATCTCCTCGGCATTCATAGAGCTGGTTATATCATGATGATTGGTATATTGTAAAAAAAGAGAAGAAAACACATGAGAACGAGTTATGCAGCAACTATCAATGACTGTAACAAGATGATAAGCAGTCAGAAAGTGCGATAACAGGGCACAAACCTGACAAGCTACTGAGACATTCAGCAACCTGAGGCCTAGCTCTAACACACCTCCAGTGCGCAAACCAACAGCCTTCCAACTTGGAAGGTTCATGGTTACGTAGGACAGGAACAACACGGCGAAACGTACGTCGTGTCGATCTACTTGCTAGTGTAGTCAACTTGTCCACAATAGTGTCATGCATGAAGAGTACCGTTAGATATTGGCGTCCGGTTTTGTACAATTCGTTTTCGCAAAGCTTCCCCCCCCCCTTCCTTTGTCTCTGATACTGCTGACCCACCCAAGTTGGGTGGTGTGTTGCTTTGCTGCTTCAAATTGTAGTTATACCGCATTGTCATATTATTAATTGGTCTCGTCATCGTCCTGTAACAGTCGGCATTATTTGTTGCCATGGGACTTAGCTTGTGCATATTTTCGCTGCGCTCACCTTCCCCTCTTCAGCCCTACGTAACCATGAACCTTCGAAGTTGGAAGGCTGTTCATTTGCGCACTGGAGGTCTCAGGTCGCTGAATGTCTCAGTAGCGTTGTCAGTTTTGTGCCCTATGATCGCACTTTCTGACTGTTTATCATCTTGTTACAGCCGTGGTTAGTTGCTGCATAACTCGTTCTCATGTGTTTTCTTCTCTTTTTTTACATTAATTTTATTACTGGCTCAGTATCCGAGTTAAAATTGATTCAATTCTCAAAAACGGTTGTGGTGACAGCAATCCTTTAGGAAGGAGCTCAAACTCTGGGGAGTTATGTACCCTTGGTGGAGTATATACCAGACGTATAGATAGTGCAGCGCTAGTGCCATGTGAAGGGTGAGAAGGTGCTACATAAGCTGTGCAGGTGAGGAGATGCAGCGAGCCTCCCGCAACCAGAGGTCTCGGAGTCGAGGTACACCAGCAGCACGTACTCCGGACGGACAAGGAGAGAGAGAGGAGAGGCGACACCGATAACTTATAACTGATCCTTGCATGATCTTTCTCTTTTTTTGTCTATACAGCTCCACCAAGAATGTCCTGTTCAGCTTGCGAGGCTCGCCGAATCGGCTCTTGTTCATCGAGTGTACCGACCAGTTGCGGACGTGCCAGGACCTGGGTGTGTCTGCAACATCGCCGTAGTCGTCGTCGTCAGGTCCTGGCTGGCTATTGCACAGTACCCAGCCTTAGAGACACACAGCAGGATCGGATAAGGACGCAAGGCATGTACCAACACCTCTCTCCCTCTCCCTCAGTTTAGAAACCCAGCTTGAGTCCAATTCACTCGAGTGTGGCACCCCCCCCCCCCCCCCAACATGCCAATCGCACGCAGCATGTGTCTTGAAACGCTCCATCGGCGAATGTGCAGTATTTGAATGGCACGCCCGTTGTCCGCTTCACCTGCGTATACCTCGACAGGCCCACTGGCAGCAGTCTTAGCGTGTTTTTACACAAAATTATGATGGCATCACAATAATAATGTGACAGCGGTGCAAGCCATCAATGATGTAGCGGTTGAGGTGGCGGTCCTTGCGGGTCTCACAGTCAAACAATGATGACGTCACCAATCACACACATTCATTGAAATGATATGTTTGTTCACAATACATTTATTCAGGATGTCATACTTTGAAAATGCATTTTGTTCATGATGTCATCCAGTGGAAAGACATTTTGTCCATGGTGTCATCCCTTCCAGAGACACAACCGGCATTGTATAGATGATGTCATCCATTGCTGACACTCCCCCGCAGCAGACGCATAGATCTGCTCTGATATTTCAGTCCATCACATTAATATATTCACTCCCACAACAGCATAAATATAATTGATAATACAGTCGTGTTTATACTTTTACTTTATACTCCATGCTGTAGCGACAGGCAGAAACCCTTCAGATCATCATTACCACGAACTTGCGGATGACAAAGACAGCATATTTTCACTACAAGTCTGCATTTACTTCAGCTGCTGTCAAATTCGATATTATCTGCTGCATTTACAAATATCTTTTATCCAAAGCGGCAATACCTATTTTATGTATATGTACTGCAAATAATTGATCTCAGGAGCTGATAGAGTGAGACAGCCTGGAGGGTCTTCAATTGCTATGTATTTATCTCTCTAACTTCGTACCACTGATGATATTTGGCCATGTTAACAGTAACTTCTAGCAGCATCCCACTGATCTTTTCCTTGTTCATTATATCATTGATGCCTTCCGCTTCAAACCAGCAACTACATACGGTATTACCCATGCACATGTCACTGTGTGCTCTCAAATGCCTCTTCAATGATCCAGACAGCTCAGATGCGACCAACTCTCCATGGGTACCGCCAGCCCTGGTGGTCTTTCCCAGCAATGACGGGTCCGGGGATAGTTTAGCTTCAAGCTGGCTTATCCAAGTCCCTTCCCACAGTCGAGCAGATTGCAAAAGTCTAGCTCTCTGTGCTCCTGCACACTGTCACATGTATATATGTGCCTAGTATGGTATTATAATTATGTCAAACCAACAACATGCGCCTACAATAATTGTAGTAGTAACAGTCAGCACCAAGAGTAGGGTTATGTCAAACTAACAACATGTGCCTAGTACTAGTACCAAGGTAACAGTTAGCACCAAGAGTAGGGTTATGTACCCTTGGTAGTACGCTCCTCTTGGTAGTGCCAAGAACATTATGTCCTGCACTCAGATGCAGTTTTTGAAGGGTCAGTAGCAGTACAGATTGCTGCGGTGTGCTCCTGCATGTTGATTGCCTTCCATCACTACATGTAAACAAATAGTTGTAACCTGCATGCGCTCTACTCTGATACTGGCACTTTTAAGACTTCGAAACCAAACTACCAATACATGTAGGCCAGGAAGTCGCACAGACTCTCTGGTCAGCTCATTTTGAAATCGGTGATGGCGGAGGCACCTTCGCCAGAGGTTGGCGAAGTCAGAACCGTTTCAGCCGAGAGACTACGAGATTCTGTAGGGAAGCTACGGAGTGAAGGTACTCGTGTTTCGCCGTTTTCCGCCCGAGTGGTTTTATTTTATTTTATTTTTAACAATGGTTTGATCAGTTCCCCTGGCTTCACCGGCACGCGTTGGCAGCAAGAAATTGTTTTGGTACACTTGCGTGTGTCCAGGCAGAATCTGATCTCTTCTGGAAAATGCGGACTCGGCATTTAAGTTCTGCCCTGCTTCAAAATGACCTCACTGAGATCAATCAACGAGCAATGGAATCAATTCATTTGGAGAGCAATGCTTAAAATGCAATGGCAGACCAGCGAGGACTCAGGTAGTACTTCTAGACGATAGAAACATACAAGTAGCAGAACAGGTATGAAGATTGGCTTCATCACAGAGGGCGCAGAAATTGCTGGGAAGTTGTAAGTCAGCAAATGAGGAGCCATTTTCAATGCACAACGGTTGGTGACTGGGTGTGGTGTTTGATGATTGGTTTTCGTTTTTTTTTTTTTCAATCAGCAGACTTTTTCAAACTTAGAAGTTGCGACTTTGGTGGTATTAGTGATGAAGTTGGTTGTTTAGCGGACTTTTGTTTCGAAAAAACTATTGGCCAATTGTCACTCAATTGATACTTGATCACCGACATAGCCGAGTGTCACCATCCAGTACAGGTTACCTGTGACTTTCGGGATGGTTTCTGTGGCGCCCGTTCTCTCATGTCTGCCAGTGAGAGTGTGACGATCATGATCAACGGTGAGATGAATGACGTCACCAATTTCCCACTCTTGACCAAGGGCTCTTCCGGTGAAGTCGCCATCAGCACCACAGCCATACCAACCAAAACACTGTGGCTTGTCCTGGTGCCAACCTTCCAGGTTTGGAGGACTGGATGAACAGGCAGAGAGAAAGATGGCACCACGTTCGGTCATGTCAATCCTCATCTGAAGTGTCAGAAGGGAGCCATGGCCAGTTTTCGTTACTGGTACGTCTTAATGAGTGACCATCATTGGTGGCAGTGGTTGTCACCCTTAGTTGCTGGGGACTGCCTTGCAAATGCCTGTATCCAATCATAGCTGATACACTGTAGCAACCAGCTTGCAGGCGATCACATCCAATCTCCACACGTCCAGGTAACGATTTGCAGCGAGTACGCACAGCCGGAAATTCATCATCCTTGTTAAGATTGCTTACGGCAATCTCCAGTCCGATGTTGTCGAGTTGATCCTGACTCACACTGCCTGCAGGAGTATTGGTAGCACTGGCAGTGGCAGCATTAGCAGTGTGTGATGGTGTCATCGCAACACTGAGTATAACATCATCACGAGTCGTGGCTTTGTCTGGACACTCCAGTACAGCATGATCAGCTATATCCAGTACAGCACCAGACTTGCCAATGTCATTCAGTAGTTGTGTGAGGTCAGTGCTGGCAAACACAAGCCCACTGGACACACATGGAACGTTATCTTCTTCAGCCATTCGTATCGTTTTCTTCAATGACTCGTCCACCCATGTCCATATACGGAGCAGGTCAACATCGTCAGTGCATGACTTCACAATATTCGCTGCACTCTTCTCTTGCAATACACACTCCTGAAGTCGGTTTTGTTGTTCCTCCAATGACAGCATCTTCTTAGATCGCATATCATCCAGCCCTGCAAGGAGTTCGTTCTCACGCTTCACAACTGCCTCAGTTAACAGCTTCGAGAACTCGGTGACTTTCGCTGATGCCTGCTCTGTTTGGTCATTGAGGTTGCGAATGTTTGCTTGAACACGGTTCAGTGCTTGGGATATGACATCAGCACATGGCGATGTACTGCTGCCAAGCTTATCTGCTAGCATATCCCGAGTTTTTTGACCAGCAGTGGCAATGTCCAGGACTTGATGATCTTTTCTGTGCGAATGCGTCTGCTTGCACTTCGGGCACAGCAGCTGGTCACACTGTACGCAGAATCCAACGACAAACTCACTTGTATGCAGTACACACCTGTGCTGTGAAGCAAATTTGCTGGTCGATCCCGGTAGTGCGGAAGACGAGGCACGCTCCCCTCGGCATAATGGCTTGACGGTATGTCCCTTGGTGGCTTTGAACAATGGATGGCCAGCAGCATGAACATCGCACATTTTCACCTGGCAATTCTCACATCCGCTGCTGGCGATTGTATCATCTCCACACTCTTCACACATGGGTTTCCCCTGCGTCTCCTCTCCTGCGACACAATCTCCACGGTCCAGAACACTTGGGAGCGATCGCAATGACTCGACGCTCAGAGTCACAGTCAGCGGAGTGGTTGCCAAACATTTCGGACATTTGATTGAACCGTCAAAGGAAATACTGTTTTGCACACAGGGTACGCACAACGTGTGCAGGCAGGAGACAAATTTTAGAGCTGTGCTCGACGAGCCACAACCATTGCACTGGAGAGAAGACATTGCTATTGATTCCTACAAAGAATAATTATACCATCGACATCGTATTGACCACAGGCACATGTACATACATAATGCTTCTGTAGTCGTTAGAATATGCGATCGCACCCGGTGCCTGCGCAAGCGCACTTCGAGGCTAACCAAAATTTAATAAGAAAATAAAGGTTGAGGGCACTCTTGAGTCTTGATCTTGTCTTCTAGTCCTATCCTGCTTGTTGGCATAGCAGGCCAGCAACCCTTTGCCTTTGCTCTTTGCGCCCCGGCCGGGCCCCTTTGACAGTTTGAGGGTTTTTTCCTTTCTTCTTTTGAGCAGCGTGATATGCACGTGTGCCAATGTCGCAATGATATGATGTCTATCGCCCGCTTAGCGCCTGTCACCCGGTTGTCGGTTGTGACAGGCGTTCAAATACAAGCGCTCAACCCCAAACAAGCAAAATAATAATTATTGACTATTGCCAGGCCTGGCAATGATTTTCGCGTTCCGGCTTGCGAAAACGATTGCGAACGTTCACGCGAAATTTGTTTTGCATGATTTTCGCTCCAAGCAAATTTCATGTGCACTCGCGCTTGTTTGAGAACTTGGTCTTCCTTCGGTTATTTGTTTGTTGTTGCGAGTGGCTGCACCCTGAGTCACTGCATGAGACGAGAGCTCTTTGACTACGTTGTCCATGGCCGGAGACCCACATAAGGGGCAGTCCGTAAATGCATGTATTTACTCACAAGTAGGGACGTTGAGTAGAGCCCACACGCTCTCTTCCATTAACACTGCAATAGTTCAACTCATTTCACAATAATCATTCCAACGTTTCGGCAAATTGCCTGATTGAGACTGCGAGATAGCGCCTTCACAGCAGTATCAGTCCTCGCTCGAGAAGGCGACAGAGCTAGCAGGAAATTGAGGGAGGCTGTATTATTATTGTTACACAGCTTCGCGTAATGGAGATACGGTAGATAAAATACTAAGTAAAAACATACCATATCCTGTTCCGCCTCTGTGTTTCTTCAGCAAGATGGCAAAAGCACACACGCACTAACAATCTAACAAGATGAAAGAAAGCAGATGACATGAAGCTAGTCGCAGACTGCTGCAGGCCTTCGTCCTAGTTAGTCATTCGGATTCCATAAACTCCTCCGGGCCAACATTAACAATAAGTGAATTACAGCAATGACCACCCAGCGTTAGTTACACTAACGCTGGGTGGTCATTGCTGTAATTTGTATCGCCACTTACTTATTAAGATACTAGATACTCTAGATACTAGATACTCGGTACTCTAGATACTAGATACTCTAACAATTTTATCAAACATTTATGATAATTACCACATCAAATGCTGCGGAGACCTATCCAGAATCGGCAATATGCTGGCCCTGGCCTGGAGATCTGCAACTATAATCAGCTTCTACTTTGCAACACTAACGGATTAGTCCCCTTTGTCGATTGATGAATCAATCGGTAGATTCGGCTCTGTTTTTCTTTCCTTTCTTTCTTGTTTTGAATTGTACGTTGAACTCATTGGATTTCTTTGTATTCTGTATCTCGTTATCGTTATATTTCCCTCTAGCCCTCTCGCTTAGGATGAGCTTTCTTTTTTATGGCAGCTTAAGGAGGTTCGCGACGGTTAGCGCCATGTTGGATTTCCGAATTTTTTTCTGAAAAATAATGCCTTTCGGAGTGGAAAAATGGGACGCGATCATGCACAGAAAATAGTTTGACCATGACTTCGCAGCGCGTGCTCGAGTCGAGACAAGTTTTGAGGAAGAAGCTCAGCCACTAGTGGACTTGCGGATTTGTTTTGACATTGGCGGTTTTTGGATAGCTCGGTTCTCCTGCCAACGTGTCGTGGAGATGAAGACGCGGGAGAGTAATCCGTCACCCACGACGCGGCTTCTCATTCTGCGTACTGGACGATGCAAGAAGCCGAGGAGGGGGACGCTTCGCAAACTCAAACGATCGATCGAGTTCCTGAAAAACGGAAAGGGCGATCTCCATCATCAACGCCACTGGATTCGACTCCCGCGAAGAGGTCGTTCAGTGCCCCTCTTCACGGTCGACGAATCGTTCATCTCAGGTATCTGGCTGTGGGATTGTCTGCGTGCCAGAATCCTGGATGTGGCAAACCTCTGGCGCTCATTGATTGCTTTGAAGAGAAGAGGTACGACCTGGGCAGCGTACTTGTCATTCCGTGTCAGCAGTGTGGGATGGAGAATTTTATAGATACAGATAGCCCTGTAACTGCTCAACACCCTGGCCCCCGTACTTCCACAAGCAACACCAAAGCTGCTTTGGGTAAGTGCGTTTTTCAATCTCATAAGATTTATTCATGATATTTGCGAGTCAGTGCCACCCTATGGCTATGGAAATGTATGAGCACACTGTATGCGCGGCGGCTGCGAGCGTGTGTGTGTTTGCATAGACCTGCATGTGTGTGCATGTGTACACCATACGCATGTATGAACATGCACATGCATATGCGCTCATGTGGACGTGCCCTCGCACACATACTATACACACGTGCATGACCGCTCCCAGGGCATGTTGGTGTGACATGTGTATGCGGGCATCTCCACTCATTCACATGAGTGTGCACATGCATGTGGGTGGGTACGCACACGTGCGTGAATGTATGTGTGTGTGTGTACGTGCGCGTGTGTTCTATTGCGTGTGAGAGCATGCATGTGTGTGTGTGTGCGTGTGTGTGTGTATGTGTGTGTCGATGGTGTGCATTTTTGTGATTGGTGAACACTCTGATCCCTAAACCGCGATACCGGAGCTCCCAAGCTATAGCCTCAGATTGATTTATAGTTCATCGTTGGGAATGAGTTCGCTGCTCATGATGCTGTTGCGGATGTTGCGGCCCTAGCTAAAATTGTCGAAGCTCGCCCTGATGCCAGTATCCTGTAGCACTCTGTCACTTTTGCATCAGCATGTTCGGCGATGGAGTTTGCAGAACATCAGCAAAAGCGGCTGGCCACCCTTCAACCGTTGGTCCAAGCAACGTGCTTCTCTAAATCAGTTGCAGTGCGGGCAGCTGCCAGTGGGTTGGTGATGAAGCACTTTGTCTTGTCCTACAAACGAAGTGGTGAGCCAGCCATTTCCAGACTGATGAAGGAGCAAGTCGGAGGTAAGAAGCGGGTGACAGTCTCAAGGAAGATTATATTAGCGGTGGCTGAACACCTAGCGAAGAACCAGCACCAACCCAACTGTAAGGAACGCCCTGTGGCACAGTGGTTCACTTGTTTGTGCGCACCGTAAAATACCATCATTTTTGCCAGTGTGGGGACACATTCTAGCTCGCATAGTTGAAGAACAAGAGGACTCAATGTTGTCTGATTCGTTCCAACATGTCAGCTTTCATTGTAGTTTGATATGGGGCAGTGCTAAGCGCTATCATAGCTACATGTACATGTATCACAACCAAGTGCCAACAGGAGAGTAATCATGGAGAAAAGTACCTATCGATAATGCGTGCACCCAGGGCTTTCCGGCAAATTTACTAGTTCAGCTATTCCATCCTTGTATTGTTCTGAACGTCGAGGGCTCTAGTGAGTTTATGCAACACCTAACAGCCAAAAATCCAATAAGTTATGACCAAAGCAGCAGCAGAGAAGTACAAGCAATATAGATACGTTAATTTACCAATTTTAGGCAAATTTTGACAGTTTTTTGGATTTTTCTCCAGAATATGCACGGTGACCCCTATTTTCGCCGCGGTAAACCTGTTCCAACCCACTTATAGAACGTGTTTGAAGTATCCACATATGGGGCAAACTCAAAAATAAGCTGCAAAAAATATTCAAAGTTTCATTTTTTGCGTCTTTTTGTTCTTCTCCAGGAAATGACGGCCTGGATCCCATCGTCAACCAAAGTGTACATTTTTCGGTGTTGATATCATCTTAGTCAATACCTCGAACAGTCTGTAAAATTTTATGTCATATGTTCTGTCCTAACTGATGTTATGGACGATTTCTCATCAATTTTGGGATTTTGTGTTATTTTGTGTCATCAAGGAAAATTGTGTTTTTGGCAAGACCTATTCAGGCAATTGAAAAACTGATGTTACTAAGCGAAAATATAAGGCTGTACCTATTCAAACCTGATGTCAGATTGGGCTGATGTTGAAATTAAATTTTTGGGCCTAACTGTCCCGAACCCCCTTAAGCGAAGGCTATATACCTGCTTTATGCAGGTTGATGCCAACGCGAACAAGCAAAATAATAATAATAATAATACTTACTTATTGTCTGATTATCATGACATTCGGCGCTGAATAATGTGTTTTTTTGCTTTGTTTTTGTTTTTACCTGTTGTTGTTGTTGTTGTTGTTGTTGTTGTTGTTGTTGTTGTTGTTGTTGTTTTTGTTTTCTTTATTTGAATTCGCTTAAACCAAACGGACAGAACTGCCCAGTGACAAGGGAGCGAATGATGAGCGTCACAATCACTAGGCGCGGCAGAAGTCGAAGCAAGAAAGCAATCAACGCCAGAGATGTTTTTGTCCACCAAAAACAGAGAGAGAGAAAGAAGAGAGGAAGAGAGAGAGAGAGAGAGAGAGAGAGAGAGAAGAGAGAGAGAGAGAGAGAGAGAGAGAGAGAGAGAGAGAGAGAGAGAGAGAGAGAGAGAGAGAGAGAGAAGAGAGAGAGAGAGAGAGAGAGAGAGAGAGAGAGAGAGAGAGAGAGAGAGAGAGAGAGAGAGAGAGAGAGAGAGAGAGAGAGAGAGAGAGAGAGAGAGAGAGAGAGAGAGAGAGAGAGAGAGAGAGAGAGAGAGAGAGAGAGAGAGAGAGAGAGAGAGAGAGAGAGAGAGAGAGAGAGAGAGAGAGAGAGAGAGAGAGAGAGAGAGAGAGAGAGAGAGAGAGAGAGAGAGAGAGAGAGAGAGAGAGAGAGAGAGAGAGAGAGAGAGAGAGAGAGAGAGAGAGAGAGAGAGAGAGAGAGAGAGAGAGAGAGAGAGAGAGAGAGAGAGAGAGAGAGAGAGAGAGAGAGAGAGAGAGAGAGAGCTATCCTCACAGAGTATGCACGCACGCAACCTCAGGCAGCATATAGTGCCTTCACCAGAGGCCTTCAGCACAAGTGGACCTTCATCTGTCGAACACTAGCTGGGGCGGCTGAACAGCTGGGACCCCTGGAACGTCAAATCACCACAGAGCTGATCCCAGTGCTGACTGGCCAACACATCGACCAAGAGTACCGCAGCCTCATTGGGTTTCCTTGTCGCCATGGTGGTCTTGGTCTGGCGGATCCTACATCTCTCTCCAGTCAGTACTCGGCTTCTCGGCACATCACTACCGCGCTAGTCCATCAAATGAACGCTCAGGCTGGTATCCTGGGAGAGACATTGGCTGAGGTCAGGGACCGCAAAGGTGAGGTACGGCGTGAGCAGCGAAGGTCGGTGTCCCACCGTGCCATGGAGCTCGCAAATGATGCATCTCCCCCAGTCAAGCTCAAGCGTGCCATGGAGCTTGGCAGCGAGAAAGGAGCCTCAAGCTGGCTTACATGCCGCCCACTAGCACGTCATGGCTTTACCCTGTCCAAGGCCCAGTTTCGTGATGGGCTGGCGCTTCGCTATGGGTGGCACCCGGACCGACTGCCATCAACCTGCTCGTGTGGTGCAACGTTCACTGTTGCACATGCTCTCTCCTGCGCTACGGACGGCTTCATCTTCATGCGGCACAATGGGGTGAGGGATCTCACTGCGCAGCTGCTCGGTCGTGTGGCGCATGACGTCAACGTGGAGCCAACCCTCCAGCCCTTGACCGGGGAGAACTTGCGCTATCGCACAGCTGTGCGGGATGACCCGGGTCGGCTGGATGTTGTCGCGAGCGGTATCTATGGCGGCCGGTTTGAACGGAGCTACCTGGACGTCCGGGTCTTCAACCCGCACGCTCCATCAAATCGCTCATCATCTGGGGCATCCTGCTACAAGCGACACGAACGTGAGAAGCGCCGGGCCTACGGAGAAAGGGTTCAGCACGTTGAGCGGGCAGGCTTCATCCCTGTGGTTTTCTCGGCACATGGTGGCATGGGCAATTCACCTATTTCTCTTTACAAGCGCATTGCCTCCATGTTGTCCGAGAAGACTCGTGAAGCCTACTCCTCTGTCATGGCCTGGATTCGTGCCCGGCTGAGCTTCGCCCTCCTGCGTGCAAGTGTTGCCTGTCTTCGGGGTGCCCGCCGACCGATCCACTGCCACCGCCTTGTCTCGCGGCTTCTGCACTGGCGGTTGCCGAGGCTAGGATTGTGGTCTGATCCGGCTCAGGAGCGGTATTGTGTGGGAACTGAACTATTATTATCGATTTCACTGTACTACTTCAAAAGTTTTTCTCTTTTGCGTTTACTTTATACCAGGCGTGGGCCATCCCCATGTACATAGCTGCCATCATTTTTCTTTGTCTCAATAAAATTAAGGTGGCTCCTACCCAGGGAGTCGTCAAATACCTGGTATTTGACGACTCCCTGCTCCTACCCCTCGGGTCCAAATTTTTTTTTGTTTGAAACGTGGCTACAAACGATTGTACTTTGTTCCGTTGGATATCTAGTGTACGGAGACAAATTTTTATCAAGTTCTACTGGCCGGTTTCACTCGGGGGAGGGGCCAAACATAGCATACTCACAATTGCCAATTTAGGCCAAAAAATACCGGAAAACCACTTTTTTGGCCGTAGCACTGGTAGTTACCGCCTTTTTCTTGATGTCCAACATCAGGACAGTAGTATACTTGCTAAATATCAGCATAAGCTGTAGAAGTGGGTAGAATTCTGCTAGAAGGTGACCTTTTTTTCTCTTTTCGGAATCATCCCATTTCAGCGCACACGTCCCACATATTAGCCCCGCCCACAGGTATTTGACACTGGACTTGCCCTGTATTCGATGGTTATGCTATCATAACCTAATAATGGTACTGTGTAGCAAGTTTGAGTAGGTTCTACCGAAGGTAACTCGTGAAATAAAACTTTAAAGTTTCAAGTGATGCCATATTTCAAGAATCAGCACATTGCACTGGGACATTATCCAACGCCTTAGAACCCCTGACTCCACCATATGACAGATACGTGTCTTACAATAATTGATTGCAACATCTTCCGAACACAGTAGTAGAGCTTTGGATCAAGTTTTAGCAGTTTCCACCCAAGCTAACTACCAAAATAGAACTTTGAAGTCGCCCACATACTAAATGCCATAGCTGAGCATGTGCATTGAGTGTATGGTCTAAAGGTTTTCACAACTAGCTCCAATGCGGCAGATACGTGTCTTACATTACTTGATTCCAACATCTTCAGAACATAGTAGTAGAGCTTCGGATCAAGTAGTTTAGACAGTTTCTACCGAAGCTAACTACCAAAATAGAACTTTGAAGTCGCCCACATACTAAATGCCATACATGTAGCTGAGCATGTGTATTGAGTGTACATGTATGCTCTAGTGTTTTTCACAACTTTCTCCAACATGAAGCCGATAGTGATGTGGAATTTGTTCACTGCTTTGTCCAAAACATAATGCTGAAGCAATGCACATTGGGCACTTTCTACTGGTAATGTAATTATTATAATATTAAACAGTGTTTGCTGCCAACATAGCAAGAAATACTTCTATACTAAATGCGTATTCCACGGGGTACGGTCCAATGGCTTTTCACTTTACATCTAGCCACTGTTCTTCGTGCATTACTTGAATGCTTAGTCTCCGTGGTAATGAAGCTAAGAGCCACACTGGAGAAGTTTCTACTGAAGCTAACTATCAAAAATATAAAATTTCCAAGATGCTACTATTACATCAAGTAGCTGTGTGCAATGCCACTCTGTTGAACACAGTAAGCAAAATCGAGTCACTAAAACCCTATTTGCCAGATACAAGCTGTTGAGACTGATAGCAGCTGTATGATCTGATATGGATGGCGGTTCCACGCTGACCAGCACATGTACACGCGCACAGGCAGAAGAACACACAAGTAATACATCTAACGTTACTTCGAAGTACACTGTGTACATCATGTAAATACAAGCGTACATGTATATACAAGCATCACTCCTGTCCTCCACAACCGGCAGTCCTAGGCCACTCCAGCTGGTCAGAGTGCAATAATTTCTGCAGCAGGCTTGACTTAGAAAGCTAATCACAACTGCCATGGCTGCAACATGAGTATTGCCAGCGCTTTTACAGTGCTACTTGTATTATATTATTGTCAATCCATTGTGGTGCATGGCACTCGTTTTCAACAACCGAGTTTATGTCATTAGTTGCATATCCAACGCCAGCAGAAAAAAGGGGGTGGGGGCAAATTACCACGGTTCAACACTAGTCATATTGAACGGCGTTATGCCATGCCAGGCGCGCACACAAAAAGCCCGCGCGAGCGCGCATGCATGTACACACCCGGGTGACACACATTCATGCGACTTTACATAGCCTGCACTGTCGTTCTATGTCATAGGAGTGAGTGCACGTGCACACACATATATATGTACATGTAGATTGCCTAATTTTGCATACGTAATAAAATTTATACACACATGTGCGTGCACATAAAGATAAACTCAACGGCATACGCATGAGAGTGTGCCGGTAGGGCCACATGCCAATTATCGGATTAGTCTGTGAAAGTTGCACGGCACGACAAACCTTCGGACAGTCTAAAGATATGACACAATGAATGTGGAATACCATCCAGTGTGTAAGACCATTTCAGCGTTTGTGATTTTCGGAGCGTCCCTGTTGATATTTGATGTCCTCACTTGGTTGATGACACAGTCACAAATTTTCAAATTCACCTCCAATGCCATCCAATCTGCGTTCCGCGATACATGTACAGTGAACGGTGTTGAGGAAAGCCATGCAGCAATAAAACAGTCGAGACTCCCAAGCGCTAAGCAGAGGATACAATTCAACAGCGTATTGAAGTACGACTCTGATTGTTCTAAACAATTTTCAAGACACAATTACAAAATTTGAAGTGCGTCTTGAAACGTGTTTGAAGTGCTTCGATGTATTTACCTTCGATCTCCCTGAATCGATCCATCCACAGCTACCTGGCGAATTTGCCAGTCAGTGCGGGAGATGATCGAGCAAGTTATAATATTTGAAGGCCGCGAGATGTCAGTGGCACTGGCAGGAAATCTACACAAGCGTGTTCTGAAATAATTTTCTAATACTCAGGCATGATTCAAGAGCGGACTCTGATTTCTCCCTTCTTATGGTACGAGCACCAGTCGACATTGCATTCTTGGAAAATCTTCTGCGAGTGCTGCCTTCCCCTTTCATAGAAAGAACGAGTGAAGAGGGACACTAGCAGCAGGTTCTAGCTAGGTCGCCAGAAAAGCGAGAAGCCGTTTCCTACAACGATTGATCGCACAAAAAAAACAAAAAAACAACACACTGCACCAGGGAGTCGTCAAATACCGGTATTTGACGACTCCCTGCACTGCACCGGTATGAGTCTCTGGTCTGTATGACAGTATGTACGTAACATAGCGTATTCAAAAATTATTTCAAATCATTTTCAAATCAAGGGTGGACAGAATGAATCTGGTCTGGAATTCGTGTTGTCCTTGTGCTAAATTTCTCCGCTCTGGCTCGCTGTATTGGAGCAGCATTCATGCTTTATCGCGGGGAAGCAGTGCATGGCCAGACGAGCGTGTGCTCTCTGGTCAACGTCGAGGAGTGGTCCAGAAACCGTCCTCGTGGCAAGACACCAGTGTCAACAAAGTCGAAGAATGGGGCGATTTGGTTGTTCTGTTCAGTCGCAGCACCAACGTCCAGTGGAACTTGGCACTTGAGGAATGGTAGGGCGATAGAGTAACGGAAATCTGAAATACGAATTGCGAATTGCGAATTCCATCAACTGATTACTTGTAGTACTCTCAAAACGGGTTTATTCAAACAATTACAATACGACATGGAAAGAAGGAAGAAAACCAAAGATACAAGGGATGAAACTCGACGATGAAATCAAAATGAAAATTTGAAAAAAGCCTAATCCAAAGAAACTCAAGGCAAATGTAACAAGGTTATGTAAAAGATTCAACTCAATCCCTAGACGAATGCTTTGAAAAGATATGAAGTGTGCATGGATGAAAATACCGTAAAGTCTTGTATAAAAGCCGCGCCTTCTATGACTTTCTTGGTGAAATTTTGCAGGCTTCTATATATAATGTATAATATAATAATCTTTATTTCAGGATTACCCAAAGGCTAACGCCTATCTGGGGGATCTGAGACAGGCTTCTATACAAGACAGGTATTTCTATGTATATCAACACTAAAACCAGGCTTATGTGTGATTTGATGGGCCCAAAATTGCGGCTTCTATTCGAGGGCGGCTTCTATTCAAGTGCGGCTTTTATACAAGACTTTACTGTAAATAGAAGTAAAAAAAGAAGGAAAACAATAGAAAACATGTTCACAATCAACTGATTACTTGTGTTCGACTTCGTAATGATAGATTTTGTAAGTTAACAAATTCCATCTGTGCACATTTGAATATCATAGTAGCATTGCTGTCGTTATTTTATTTTACCTCACCAGATAAACAGGTAGGAGAATGCCTTCTCGCTAGACCAGTTCTAGTTCTCACGAAGAAAAAAAATGAAAAAAATGTGAGTGAATGTGCTGAAGCAAGAATCTTGCATGTTCTGTTTTATGACAGTACATGTATTTGTATATGAGTGGGAATGATGACATGACAAGGGAAAAACAAATCCAATGTATTAGTACATAGAAAAAAGAATGAATGAAGGAAAGAAAAAATGAAGAAAGTAATAAAGAAAGAGAGTGAAAGAATAAACTACGCCGACATTTGAAATGAAAGTAGATAAATTGAAATATATGCCGTAAAGTCGCGTATGACTTTCTGGGGGGAATTTTTGCAGGGTTCTATATGAGACAGCCTTTCAATACAAGACAGGTATGTCTATGTACAATGCTGGCAACTGAAATCCGACGTCTCGTACGAATCGCTAACGCGGCTAGCGCACCGCTATAGTCCATTCATTGGAAACTGGCACCCTAACTTGTTGGTGTTTCTCTCACATAGTTGTAGATATCGTGAAAACAACTGTACATCCTGCATTGTGTGACCCGTGCAATTACTCCTTGCCACATTCGAGGCCAGGAAAGTCCAAGAACAGGGAAATAGAAATTCAGCCAGGTTTTACAAAATTAGGACAGGTATGCCATGGCAAAATGTATGGAGAAGCAGATCCCAAACCCAGATTTTAGAGATTTTAAGTGGGTTTTTGATCCTCAATTCGGCCCAAATTCGACTTTCAAAAGCCAGCGGGCCAGTTTCCGATGAATGGACTGTGGGGGGGGGGGGGTCGGATTTCAGTTGCCAGCACTGTACTAGTATGTCCACACTAAAACCAGGCTTATGTGCCGGCAGTGCATCTCGAAAAACTAGGCTTGTATTCAAAACGGGCTTCTAAATAAGACACCGGCTTTTATACAAGACACCGCGGCATCTTATGCTATAGCAGTCCATTGGCTGTTGAAATACAGTGCCTTGGCTGTTGAAATACAGTGCATTGGCTGTTGAAATACAGTGCCTTGGCTGTTGAAATACAGTGCCTTGGCTGTGAAGTACGAACGGTCTTGGGCCTTGCAGGTACAGTAAAACCTGCCCTAACTGGACACCCTTCGTGCAGCGGAACTGCTCTGATGTGACAGGGTTCCGTTTGATCCAGGATGCACGTTCGATCCAAAGCACTGAAAATTTGTCCGGTCAATACAGGATTCCGCTTGGTACAGGGTCCGGCAAACGCAGGTTTTATTGTACATGATTATTATTATTTATTTATTTTCTTATTTTGTTAGGGATTTCCCAATGGGCAATTTTGCTGGGAATGATTGTACTTCATACTGAGGTATCACGACTGTGTGTGCCACTCGAGACGAACGGTTATGGACTAGCGTGTTCCGCGTTCGTTCGATTCCGATCCTTGCTGTGCGTGGTAAGAATGTGGGATCGGGGTGACGGGGGTCGGACATACAGCCTAGCTGCCACTGGCTGCACTGCAAGATGCCCAGTGGTCGCACCTCAGCAGCGAGTCGATGGTAAAGAACTGGCGCGTTCCCCTGGTTGTGGAGCACGGAAATGAACTCGTGAAAACTCGAGTATTACTCTTGTTTTGCTATTGGGCGCATGGTACAGTGGCTGTCCGGCTGTTGGAGCTTTTGCCATAAGTATATGCCTGTCTGCCTGTGTGTGTGTGTGTGTGGTGCATGCATGTGTATGCGTTTGCATGTGCATGCTGCATGTGCTGCATGTGCGTGCGCGCGCGCATGTGTGTGTGTGTGTGTGTGTGTGTGTGTGGTACATGGTGGTGTTTGTGCATCTAATCAGGATATCGTTGAATGCTCTCAGAGAAGACCGGATGGTGTTGCTATTCTATGTCAACACTCCATCTGTATGTGACTGTTTCGTGCGTGCGTGCACCCCCCCCCCCCCCCCACACACACATGCGCTCGCGCGCACACACACGCACTCACGCACACTCTCTCTCTCTCTCTCACACACACACACGCACACACATGCACATGTGCACAAACACACACATATATACAACCACACACACACGCATGCACACACACACACATACACACACACTCGGTACCAGTTAAGTAACTACCGTCCGTCTAAATCCTCTGCCCGCAACCAAGAGTACATATGCCCCCAAGAATATGCGACTCCCGCATGCTTGCCGTCCCGTCAGATTTCAAGGTGGCGTTGTTTTTATGATGCAACGCTCCTCGCACCGGTGGTTTACGGCGTTTGTACTGGCTGTCGACGCATCACACTTGCTTCCTTGTACTAGTTTGTACAGGATCAAAATGAGGATTTGTGCGCCACTGGTCCAGGATACGTCCGATGATATGTGTAAACTGCGTATCGCATCATGAAAATGACGTCAGCTTGAGATTTTGTCAGGACAGTAGTACTGGCAGTGAAATTTCACACTCTTGGAGTTTATGCTCTTGCCGCAGTAAACAAGCGCTCAATCTCCTGTGCTTCTTTTATGCGTTGCCGCCATGAACCAAGACTGAATCACGAGCTGATTGCTTTTTGTGGTTCTAAAACATATTTTGTGTCTGTCTGTGTCTGTCTCTATTGTTTGTCTGTCTAATACTCTGTGTATTTTGTCTCCGTGTCTGTGTATGTCTGTGTGTCTGTGTCTGTGTGTATGCTGCTGGATTTTCAACAACTCGTTGATGTATTTGAAGGTGGTCATCGGCCGCATGCAGGTAAGCACGTGCACAGGGTGCTGTATAGCAGGAATTGTTCGGACGGAATTTATTTTCGTACGATTTCGTGCACGGCCTCTTTTGTACTAAAATTAAGTCCGTACTAAAATTTGTTCATGTGAAAATATGTGCACTATACATGCGTACTGCATGCGAACACGTGCATTTAGCATGCAGCACAGTACGAAAATAAAATGCGTGTGAAAGGTCGAAATTCGGCTTTGTCCGAAAATAAATCCGTCACAAAATTTCCTGCTATACAGTAGTTGCTGTGCAATGATCTAATCAGTGCTCTTTATTTAGGTGCAGTAAAGCCTGTTAAGGCGACCACTTGGTTAAGGCGATCACCTGTCCTAGGAGACCACTGGAACCAGGACCAAGGGATGCTGTTTCCAGTCAATTGACACAGGATAAGGAGACCACCTGGTAGCAGAGACAGCATTTTGAAGGTCCCTTGAGCGGTCGTCTTTGACAGGTTTCTCTGTACTTCCGTATTTCCTGCAGTGTTAGCCGCACCCCTCCCTTTTCAGGCCCAAAATTCGTATCTTTTGACATTCTGAGCTGCAAGTCAGGCTTTCAATTGCTTGAATGACACCATACCTGTATCACATGCATGGGGCACTGGAGGCGAACGCTGGTCGATTCGCATCCAGCATTCGGAGTGTCGGAAAACTTACTCTTGCGTCCGTAGTAGATTGTTCGCGTCTGGTTTGGAAAAATACAGCCAGAAGTATGTCGAAAAGTATAACAATGCACATTGCTTGTTTCTTTTTTTGTGTGTGTGTGTGTGTGTGTGTGTGTGTGTGTGTGTGTGTGTCTGTCTGTCTGTGTGCATCTGTGTGCATGTGTGCATACAGAATCCTTGGCTAGAGGCTGACCTGGACTACCTTCGACGGAATCATGTCACGCTGGCTCGTCGCCGCAGTGGCGGCGGTGCTGTCTATCACGTAGGTGACCTGTTGTCCGTGCGTTGTGAACTAACGACAGGTGATCATGAATTATTCATGATCCACTGGATTGTCATTTCGGTGAACATGTGTGCTGAGAAACCTCGACCTATGTGGCGTCAAGTAGTACGAGCGTAACTGTTCTCTTACATGTGAATATGGCAGTAATGCCGAGTCGGAGTGCGGCGCACACTGACACGTGCTATCTGCTTGAGTACGGTGTAGCAATGGTCAGTGATGGGGATTTCCAGGGCCAGGCAGCAGCACTGCAGATGGAGTTCCGTGAATGCACGCACATGTTCTTTTCTTCCTTTCTTGTTGTCGCTGCGCAGGATCTGGGCAACTTGAACATCTCATTCTTGACGCCCAAGGATCGCTACAAGCGCAGCGCCCATTTGGAGTGGGTGACCGAGTGTCTACGTTCAGCATGGCCCGCGATTGAGCTGAAAGTCAGCGACAAGGGTGATATGCGGCTTCCGGACGCTAGCAAGGTGAACCCTTGACTTCAGTTACTTGCTGTGCGTGCTGCTGTGTTGCCAGGAGTGTGTCTGTGTGTAATATGTCACACTCTGATTGCTTGTATGGTGCTGCGTGTGGTTTGGTACGGCCAGGTTCACTGTAGTGCAATCACGTATTTTGCTTGAATATTGCTCTTTTGTGTGTGTGTGTGTGTGTGTGTGTGTGTGTGTGTGTGTGTGCGTGTGCGTTTGCGTGTGCGTTTGCGTTTGCGTTTGCATGTGTGTGTGTGTGTGTGTGTGTGCGTTTGCGTGTGTGTGTGTGTGTGTGTGTTTGCATGTGTGTGTTCCTGTAGATATCTGGATCTGCTGCCCGCATCACAACGCCGGGATCATATCAGCACTGCACTCTGCTGGTGCAGGCTGATAGCCATGCCTTGTTTTCATCCCTGGAACCAACCTTACAGGTGTGTGTGTGTGCGTGCGTGTGTGTGTGTGTGTGTGTGTGTGTGTGTGTGTGTGTGTGTGTGTGTGTGTGTGTGTGATCATGATGTCCTCAGTGTATGCAGCGAATCTCTCCCTGCCTCTCCGTTTGTCCGTAGCCTATCTATCTTTATCTTTGTATCTCTCTCCTGTAACCCACTCGGAAATGTCTTTGTTCTTGTTGTGCTTGTGTTCTCTGGAAACTTCACCTCACCCCAAACTACAGGATGGATTGATTCGTACTTCTTCCACTGCCAGTCGCCGGTCGTCAATCTCCGACTTACAGAGCCTTGCACCTGACTGCACTGTGGACAGGGTCCGTGCCCAGCTCGCCGATAGGTTTGTCCAGGACTTCAACACAGCCGATGGCGGCAAGGTGAGGAGCAGGGGTCGATATGTTGATCCTGATGGTTTGCCGCAGGACCGTTAGAAGCAGTGTTTGATTGGTCAGGCCATACCCTAGCCTTTCATACAGTTTGTGTATAATGTGGAGGGTATGCACATGACCTCTCAGCAGTATCTCAATCATGGTCTTTGACCAACCCACTGTGCCTGCCTGGTACATGATTGAGATACGAGAGGTACCTGGTTCAAGTCCTGCCTGGGAGCGGCTTTTCCAGCCGTGCTGCTACCCACAGTCAACTGGGAACTTGTGGCCAGGCACAAGGGGTACATGGATGCAGCTAATGGGGTCGTTCTCGGCACTTGTGCCAGTGGTTGTGAGACTTATCCACTCACCCCACCGTTAGGCGCTGCATCTGCTGCTAGGGTTTACCGGGTGTTAGCGGCCGTCGTGAGTTCCCTTCGGGAACGGACACGATAATTTACTTTTACTTTTCTCAGCAGTAAACACACGTTGATGGCCAATAGCAAGTTCAGTTGGTCCGGCCATGGCCTGACCAACCGGACCAGTTCCGCTGGGCCTATTTGGCTGCTGTTATCTTTCAAGGCGTTGTTTTCCGTGTCCGTGCGCTCGGTCGCCCCGAAGTTGCCTTTGTTGGGTAGTGGTTTGTCTTGGATGGGCATGGATATGTCTTCGGTTGTTTGTAGCTTCCAAGGATAGAATTCGCTGGTACTCTCTTGCTTACTCTTGTTCTCTGGCGTCTGTACGACCTTACAGTCCACTCATCGGAAACAGTCCCGCTGGCCCTTTGAAAGTCCGATTTGGGCCGAATTGAGGATCAAAACCCCACTTTAAATATCAAAAATCTGGGTTTGGGATCTGCTTCTCCATGTATTTTCCCATGGCATACCTGTCCTAATCTTGTAAAACCTGGCTGAAGTTCTGTTTACCTGTTCTTGGACTTTTCTGGCCTCGCATGTGGCAAGGAGTGATTGCACGGGTCACACAATGCAGGATGCACAGTTGTTTTCACACGGTATCTACGACTATGCGTTGGAGATACCAAAAAGTTAGGGTGCCAGTTTCCAATAAATGGACTGTAGGCCCATGAGCTTATGATGATGATGTCCACAATGATTACTGTGCCTAGACAACACCGTTAGAAAACTATTTTTCAAGTACGCAAAGTGCAGCACCCAGGCCGAAACCTCGGTGCTCGTCTTTCGATCAGAGTCATGCTCTTCCGAAAGAGACCACGCGAAAGCAGCGTTGCAATGTACACTACTGCTCGAGGAAATCAGATTCAGTGAAAGAAGCCATGAAGCAGCCAGCCTAGGCCACTGACTGACTTAGTTTGGTCCTTGCGGTTGTCAAACTTCCGAGGTGTTGTTGTGACTTACAGAGTAGTTGGTCGACCGAGTAAGGCACGCTAATCCAGAAAAATTCCGCAAAATAGCAAGTGTGTACTTGGTCCGCCAAGAATTGGCGCTTATCTTCTCACTTGGTTTTTCGGTGTTCTTCCTGTGTCACACGGCATGGAACCACCGATTCACCATCCGAACATAACCATTGACCATTGCATCCGACGACATGGCAGCACAAACCATCACAGAAGTTGCGATCGGTTCGTTTCAGTCTTTTTGACGGAGCTGCCGCTGACGAACACTTCCGTCAGCGCAAGAAAACACTGCAACCTCCGCTCGAGTCCGTAAAATAGGTCAGGATGTTTGCATTTCAGAGCGATGGAGAATACAGTTTCTGTCTACTTCCAGCTGTCTGATGGCAAGGATTGTTTACCCCGGGGAGGTGTAGAAAAGCTGAAAAAGCGCTTCGCGAGCTTGAATTTCAGTGCTCAGTGCACAGCGCCTAGTGAAGGGCTATCACCAGCAAATCGCTGACGAAGAAACTGCAGCTCAAGTTGACATCTCCAGAAAGTGAGACCAATCTGGCGGACACACTTTGAAGCTCACAGTGGACAGGGCAAAGGAACTAATCAATAAACACCAAGTCCTGAGGGAAACACTCGTGCAAAGGACTTTCAGGAAACTAGCCGAAAAGCCTGGTGCACGGCATAAGGGCTTAGGTGCAGTACGTACAGGTGCTACATCAAGCGGAAGCTATCACTGCGCTGCATATACAAGCACCAGCGGCTCGCGTGGGTGCTGATCAGCAAGTACGACAAGCGCAAGAGGCGATTTGAAAAAAGGACACTGATAATGATATGGCGTTGCCTTTTTGTCTCAAACAAAGTCGCATTATTGCGATGAACGGGGATAACACTTACAGCCAACATGCAGGCAGTCTCACTCAGCATCTGATCGGCAAGGTGACAGGCACGCACTGCCTTTGAGCATGATTCGAGACGAGGAGAAGTGGAACAAGCTATGAAACGTGCAGCAGCTGTCCGGATCGAACGTTTTTGAGCTCTTCCTCCAGCGACGACAGTGGCGAGGAGGATGTGTAACTTGCTTGAATTTTCGACTGAGTTGCTTGCTGACATGTAAATAATCATGTACATAGTGCTTTGTGATCGTGGCTTGCTTCAAATATTCGTATTTCCTTCCTGAGACAAGTGTGAAGATAAGCGCCAAGTGTAACTGGGCGGACCAAGTAGGTACGCAAGAGTGGAAAAGTACTTGGCAACATTATAATATGTGTGTGTCTGTCTGTCTGCCTGTCTGTCTCTCTGTCCGTTTTATATGTGCATGTGTGTGTACATGTGTTTACATGCATTTGTTCATCCATTCTTGTGCTGCTGTATCTCAGACATCCTCCGTACTATCCATCTCGCCACCCACGTCTTTGTCTGGCTCCTGGCGAGAAGTGGACAAGCTGTACGATGAGTATGAGGTGGGTGCTGCTGCGGGTACTGTTGAATAGCCCGTGTTCTGAAACTGTTTGCATGGAGTTCAAGGTGTCTGTCTGTCTGTCTTCTCCCGATGTGTGTGTGTGTGTGTGTGTGTGTGTGTGTGTGTGTGTGTGTGTGTGTCTGTCTGTGTCTGTCTGGCTGTCTGGCTGGCTGTCTGTGCCGGTGTGTGTTGTAACTTGAAAATACTGTAAATATACAAAATTTTGGCGCTGCAAAAATTTCGTCATTAATTTTCATGATTTTCGACATTTCGGAAGAGATTTATTTTCGGCAAGGGGTTATTACTAGTACATTACCAAAGCCGATGTGAAAAAATATCATCAGCGTTCTAACTTCGGCGTTTTGGGTCGGTGCCGATAGTGAATATAGCCGAAATGTTGTATATTTACAGCATGACGTGATCTGTTCTACACTCGTGTGCCTGCGTGCTCGTGCAGACTTGGGAGTGGACGTTTGGGAAGACACCGCGTTTCCACGTGCATCACGAGGTGACCATTGGTGGCGACGCGGCGGTAAGACCGTACCTATGCTTGCATGCATGTCTTGATGATCTTTTGGTTTGTTGCCCAGCTCGGTTCCTTGCAAGACTATCAACATGTCCATGTGCTAACCTTGCTGTCACATATGTTGGTAACACGAGGACCAGCGAGCCCAGTTTTGTTTCATTCTCCCTTTTTTGTTTCAGGCTCCTACGTGCAGAAAGTGTGCATTTTGTCACTTGAAAGCAAATGGGGTTGCAGGGAACACTTAAATATTTCGAAATTGCTCTGACACCTTGTCCTGACACTTCTGGAAACGGCCGGACACCGTTGGCATTGTGATAATCTGTGATTTCTGTGTTATTGTGGCTGTGATGCGTGTTGCAGATCCTCGACTTGGAAGTGGAGCATTGCCGCATCAAGAAGATCACGTTGACCAGCTCTGGACCCGGCGCTGACACGGAGTTGGAAAGCACGCTCCAAGGTCAGTCGGGGTTTGATTGTTTTCTAATGAGCTGCTTTCTTTCGGCCATGCTCGCTGTGAACCTGTCGGTGTGTTCCACACTTGCGTTATCTCTACGCTCTGCCCGACAGACAGACCTGTTGTACAGACTAGGCCCAGACAGATCCTGCCGGCAATTCTTTCGGCAAAATATCGAAGAATTGAAAGAGCGGAAATTGCTGGCAAAATCGGAGCAAAATATCGAGATGTTGGGTAAAATCGATGCCTGATACTTGGATTTCCTTGTTTCTTACTCTTTCAGCAGGACAAACTGCCCAGGACGAGATCATGTCACCGAAATATCACTGGGATTCACTGTGGATCGACATGATTTTGGAAGAACTCAGGGACACGTGCGTGGAAACCTGTGTTGAGAAACCGACCCCGCGATTTTTATGAAACGTTGTACGGGATTGTACGGGAAGTGGATAAAAGACACGTTTTTCGGAGCAAAATGGAGCAAAATATCGAGTTTCTTGTATCAGGCTCGGCAAAATATCGAAGATTTCGCAGCAACATTTTGCGGCAAATATCGAGGCGAGCGGAGCAGAATCTGTCTGGGCCTAGTACAGACCTGTTGTACAGAGCTGTGGTGCATCTATCACATGACCGTACGGGACAGCCATGTTGGTTCCAATTCCACTCAACCGCCTTGCACCTAAGGGTCACATAGTGTCGGCCTTGTTCAATTGTTGGGGTCTCCTGTTCACATACCACGATCACAGTTTCTACTAATTTAGTCACATGAAGGAGTAGCTCCCGCCACTTTACTATAATATCCTGCAGGCGAGAAAACTGGCAAGTTATTTCACTGTTTCAGTAGTCATGATGTTTGCTTGTCTGCTTTCGCAGGCATGCCGCTTCGCGATGGCGACTGGCGACAGCTTGCCGACCAGTATGCGGAGGGTACGTTTGAACGTCAAGCTTGTCACGCCATCGCATCCCTGTTCTGGCCAAGCGGTGAACACACATAGCCTGCACTCAGCAGCATTGCAGTCAGCGGTCAGCGCCAACGATGCAGCTGCCATCACCATGATGTCATAGTGGATGTATGCCAATCCCAAATGACATCATGATGAGGTCATGGCAAACAGTCTGAGACTCCAATAGCAGTACATGTAGTGGAGTGTTTCAATGACTTTAGTGCTACTCTGTAGTCAGTGCACCAGGGTGCATGGGCTGGAGTGATGCACGGCACTGCAACTTAGTACATCACCCACCGTGTGTCTGCAATGGATACTGGCCAGCTCCATCAGCCCAATCAGCATGTCACATGTCCTAGCTGCCTGGCTTCTTGAGCGTTGCTAGCAGCAGCTAGTGCTTCATCATCGTCACCAACATGATGGGATCATAACCGATTCTCTCCACGATACTACTGGCATTCCACCTCAAGTGTATAGCGCTTACAGTGGTCGCCTGGCTGGATCCAGTCTCTTCCGCTGTCCCACGGAGTACGCAGTCGTGCAACCAGCCATGGCATCATCATCAGTCTGCATGCTTGCCAAGCGAATGTAGCGAACACGCGAAGAAACGTCCGCACAATGCAGCACATCTCGAGTCCTATTCCAGGAGCTTGGATTTGATATAGCCTAAGTATTGGAGCCGTCCGTGGCTAGGCTCCTCACCTCCCTATACTTCAGAGCAAAGGAAATAAATAGTACTGTAGTACGTGTACAAGTGCAGGATATTCTGCTGCAAGATGCTGCGCATGTGGATCATGCTGCTGGCTGCTTTTTGGCAGAATATGTACTTATGTAGTGGCTACTGGAGGTATTTTTATGACCTAGACTGCTAATAGCCCACAGCATTGTCGGATGCTTGACTTCTACGAGCAGTCTTTTTTTTATTGATTCTAGCCGAGCAGCAGGGCTGGTCCTGAGCTTGCTTGTTGTGTGAATTATATTGTTTAATTATTTTAATTTCATCCTCTATTCATCAGTTGAGGGCATTGAGGGTGTTGAATTATTCCTCTTCTAGATTGTTGATATCTACTTTGAAGTATTAATAATTATTGTGCTTCTCTGACGGAAGTGACCATGGTAACGAATGCAGGCAGGCATCCGCCTTAGGCTGCTGCAGTTGTTTTTGATAGTGCACACACATGCAGCACTCGCGTAGCAGCCCTTTTTCCTCACTGGCCTGGATGCTGACCAGGGCATGGTTCATGTGCAGTTGCACTCTGTGAAATCTGAGGCAGTGCGACGTATTTAGCGCCCTCAGCTAGCACGGCCCTTGACGCCCTGGAAGTGGCACGAATGCGGCTGCCGGGACCTACACATACAGTGATGTATTCGGAACTGGTGCAGTGCGCTTCGGGGGCAGATCTCACCCAGTGCAGCTGTACTGCAAGAAGCATGAGCTCACTATCACTACAGCAGGCTATCTTGGCCTTGCCAAGACTAGGCGGGCAACTCAGACACGCACTCAGCTGCGCTCACACACAGAATACGATGCTTTGAATTTTATCGAAACGCATATAATATCCATGTTGAGCAGAGAAGGACATAAGTACATTAAAGTCCAAGTACCAGACTGGAAGTTCTTTTTCTAGCTGGTGCACAATATCCTATTTTCCATATCTCTAAAGTTATTATTAAATTAGCCAAAGGTCTACAGTACAGATTCTCGATGTCCTAATATGATAAATTATATATTATTTCCCTATGTCACTTTCCTATTACCATGTAGGCAATAGCGCTAGTAGAAAAAGGTCACATTGCCATGGGTCCTTTCATTTTCTATAAATTGCCATGGGTGTTGTACACAGGAAAATCGAAAATTTAAAAACTATCAACTACTCGTGTTCCCAAGCTTGACGCAATCTACAAAATAGATATAGAGAATCCGATCAAAACACGCTCAGTGACGCAGTTCAACAGGAACGTATTTTTTCTTATAATTACGTATGTCCGCAACACCATGCATGGCCATTGCTCAGCTTGACTACCATCTATACCGAGACGCTATACAGCGGAAACGTAAACTTGCGACAACGACAGACAATGTGCTTGTGCATCCACGTTGCGGTGCGGTCACTTGTTCGACATGCCCTAACCCGGCCTAGCCTTTCTTGCGTTTTCGCCGCCATCCGTGCCTCTCTTCCTCCTCTCTCTTCTTCGGCTTGCGTTCCTTTTCCTCTTTCTTGGCGTCTTCTCTTTCATTCTTCTGCTCTGCCTTCATCTCCGGGCGAAGGAAGTCTTTGCCTTGCTTACCCTGGATATTGGGAATGGTCTCGCAGTCACCGGGGTCAATGTTATGGAATGAGCCGAGGCGAGAGATGTAGCGGCTCCCCTGTGAGCATTACAGATGGTATGCAGACATGCGTGCACACACAGACACACACACACACACACAACACACACACACATACACACACACGCACACGTATTTAGAACACTATGTTTCAATGGCAGTTGAGTTACTTCTAGACAGTATAAGAGCAGGTTTTTGCTCTGCATTGCCCACATGGGATAGATGTATCTGCTCCCATCTATTGTGAAAAGAAGAAGGACAAAATGTTACGAGTTATGACTAACTGTCCACCAACGTAACCAGATCTTATACAGTCAGCGAACATTTTGTCCTTCTTCTTTTCACGATAATTTAATTGGCTCACCATCCGAGTTACATTCTGCTCCCATTTGTGTGAGCATTTTTGTACTACGCGATGAGTTGCAGAATCACAAGAATCAAGTTGCTTTGATTGGCGATCACTTATCAACCTGCTGAAGTAGAGCACAATTATCACTAGACATCAGTGTCGACAAGTAAAAACCTAGCTACGATAGAACGCCGGAATCCCAGCACAATATGCATCCTACGAGGCCCAGCAGGGATGCAAAAGAGCTCGTTCTCACCTCCCCTCCACTGTCTTCTGCTGCTGCGGCAGTTGCCACCGCTGCCGCCGCCGGAGCTGTAGCATCCACATCCACACCGAGCGACGGTGAGATGGTGTGAGACGTTGGTTCAGTAGTCGTGGGTTTCTCGCCCACTGGGCTTTCTGGTGCCAGTGCAGGCCCGCCCGTACCAGCATTTTCTCCACTGGTTGCACTTTTCGCCTTTTCACTAGTTAGGACAGCATGAGTAGAAGCATGGCTAGAGGGGTCGCACACGGTAGCACTGGATGTTACGGGAAGAGGGGCAGGCGCCGCCGTCTCAGATGGAGGTACAGGCACCACGGCTGCAGATGGAGATGCAAGCAACGCCTCAGCAGATGGAGGTACAGGCAACGCCTCAGCAGATGGAAGTACAGGCAACGCCTCGGCAGATGGAGGTGCAGACATCGTCATTGCAGATGGGGGCGCCGATGCCGCCATGGCAGATGAAGGCGCAGGCACCGCTGCTTCAGATGGAGGTGGAGGTGAAGCGGTAATTGTGACGGGCAGAGGCGGTTCTGACGCCGATGAGTACATAGCAGCATCTGGTGTCGGTGGTACAGGCATGGTGCTAGCCTCTGCGTTACTCACACCGACCAGTGCGATAGTCTTGTGTCGCAGCGCTCCATCCAGCACCTGCTCCCGGGGCTCAGCCGCCCTCTGCCCCAGAGCGAAACCAACCGTGCCTAGTTCCTGCACAAGCTCTTCCTCGCTGCAGTCGTCTTCCTCAAACTCCTCGCTTTCCTCTGGCTTTGGCGACAAGGCTCGCTGATCCGAGCGGACATCCAAGTGAAGTGGACTTGCACAGTCTAACGGCTGCTGCCCGAGTGAACGAGCACGACGCCGCGAGATGACGTCGTGCGCCTCTTTGTTGCGCTCCATCTGGCGGCACGCTGCTGCTGGTGGCTGCCTCGCGGCGGCAGATGCTGAGGATGAAATGCCGCCACCGTCCTTGATGATTCCACGTCGGAAATAGTAGCTACTGTAATCACAGCAACCCTGCGAGGCACAGACGAACAACAGAATACAAAGGAGAGAAAAAAACATTTTAAAATCTTCAGAATTATATGTAAAAATAATTAATAGCAGAAGAAAACACATGGAAACGAGGTACTTGAGTATGAAGCAACTATCGACGAATGTAACAAGATAATAAGCGGTCGGTACGTGCGATAACATTGCGAGTTCAGAATGATATGGGTCATACGTCTACAGTCCTTTCTAGTCAGCTCATTTAGCCTGGTTAGAGAACTAAGAGAAATCAGCGGATCAGGAGCAGGTTGGGGAAAAAGGGAAGTTTAGCGTGCAAAAGTGCGCGGTCTCACAATGACAGTGGAGATTTCTATGGCGATGGCTAGGCGAGACTTACCCTGCGCCTTGCTGCTGCCCACCGATCACGCATCTCACGTCGCGAGGCCGGGTGCGTTCCTGCACGCCGTCTGTTCTTGCATCGCTCCTCCGTTTGCCAGAAGCTCGGCATCGGGTAAGAGAAGTCATTGAACTGCATCAGCGCCCGGTGTTCGGCATCCTACGGACACGCAAGCACACATTCACACCGTCCCAAGATGAGAGAGGGAGGGAGTGTTTGTGTGTGTCACATGGTGTGTGTGCGTGCACGTGTGTGCGTGTCTGTATATTTGTGGCAACTTCAGCACTGAATTCATATAAAATTTGAAATGTTTGCGAGATATTAGGTCACCACCCAAGGCCTTTGTTCCTTTGCCCAAGCCCTGGAATCTAAGAGCTCTCGCTCTGTCTAGGGAATGAACACAGTGTGTGTAGGTCAACAAACTCCAGGGCCGCCCAAATTTGAATTTGAAATAAATATCAATACTATCAGATGCATCGAGGGTGCAAAATCACTAAAACTTTTTTTACGAGGTCACAAACCCAAATTTTGCAAGGAATGCATAGGACATGCAGGAAGAGAAACACAGACACAGCGAGGAACAGTGAGTTCGAGATGCAGGTAATGTGTAGTGGACTTTGCAGCCAATATTAACGGCTGTTACCCCGAATGCCACACGCACCCTGAGGTGAGGCGGGGGCAGAGCAGGGGAGGTAAGTGAGAAGGCAGCAGTCATCAATCGATATACTGTATAGCAGGACATTTTCGGACGGAATTTATTTTCGTACGATTTCGTACACGCCCTCTTTTGTACTAAAATTAATTCCGTACTAAAATTTGTTCCTGTGAAGTTATGTACACTATACATGCGTACCGCAAGCAAACAAGTGCTTTTATTTTGCATGCACCACTGTACGAAAATAAAATCCGTACGAAATGTCGAAATTCGGCTTTGTCCGAAAATATTTCCGTCCGAAAATGTCCTGCTATACAGTACCAGGGGTCAGGCATACACACTTACACATAGTTTTTAATTAACCAGACATTAGACACCCTTAGCACACAACGGTAACGCTATTTTTTTACGGTACTCGTACCTTGATCACCCAAATAGAGTTGAAGCTGCAGCGTAAAAACGTTAGGGCCTGTCCAGACTAGGTAGAAAACCACGTAAACACGCCGTAAACATGCTTGTTGCCAAGGTGAGTGACGAAAAATGGCCGATAACGGGGAACGTGGGATTCACGCGGAACGTGAGTCGAGGACCCCTGTACAAAGCACGTTTCTCATCTACGTGCCGTTTTCGCTGTGTTTGTTGTGTGAGAGTCGATCGGTGGAGTTTTCGGATCGCATTTTTTCTTGCTGTTTCCAGCTGCTGCAGCTTGTTTTTGCTTTGCCGTTTTCATAATGCCACACGTCCGTTTCAGCTACGACTCTGAGGCGACATGGATACAGTCGTGGCTGGACATGCAGAGAAATCCCGGGGTCTGGTGAAGAGGAAGGTGGTGTAGAGAGAGAGAGAGAGATAACTCACTGACGAGCGAGTATGTGAAACTGTTTGGATAGGAAGTAGAACCCTGTTCAGTTGTGATGAACGAAAACGAAATTTGACGACCTGAAGGCCAAAGCCAGGGACTTTTACTGGAAATACACGGCGGCCGCAACCATTAGTTCATCAAGCGATGCTATAGCGGGCCTCGACCGTGACGCTGCGCTGCCGCGAGAGTGTGGCCAAATTTCCGTACCTGGAACAGAGTTCAGCCTCATCAGGGTGATGTTCCTTGCGCTCGGCGTCAGTACTGCCATCTCTGGGCCGCCACTCGTTTTTGTAGCTAGCTGGATAGGTCTAGACCAAGCCAGGGAGTGCTTGCCTGGTCTACAACACGCTACAACAACTACAAGTCACTTGTGTGTCTGCCAGTAGTGCATCCACGGACAAAAATGAACAGGTACACGTAGTGGTACAGGTGACAGAGCGAAGTGTGGACAGCGCACCGCGTGTACGTCACGTACTCTAAAACGGCACGCCGTTTTTATTACCTAGTGTGGACAGGCCCTAATGGGGGCTGATTTATCGTTGTGACCAACGGTACGATTTTTGGCCGAATATTGCAGAGTCCGTACGCATTTCACCTTGTATCGCGTATATGGTGACATAAATAGTTGTACCGCGCGAAGTAAAAGCTATTCTCGTGGCAACAGCGTACTAAAATAGCGTGCATCTTGCTAAAGGTCGAGTCCAAATCACAATATTTTCCCCCTTACGGTAATACCGTTACAACATAACGTTGTTTGCAAAGGGTGTCTAATGACAAGCACGCACGTGCACACATACACCATGTCGTCATGTACACACCACACAAACAAACACACACACACACACACACACACACACACACACACACACACACAATCATGCTCGTACTTTCTCGCCCCTGGAGATCTGGACAGGGCGCGATAGTGCTGCTGGTGCGGACTGTCCTCTGGGTCGACCACCTGGTGGTGGCAACACCGGATTCAGCACTGCTTCAGTCAGCTCGTGCCGGCCGTATAGCTGGAACTCTGGGTCATCGAACGGGTCCATGAAATCCTCTCGAGCTTCGGCTGAGACGGATGGTGACGGCTGCATGCATGGGCGACGGGAGTTCAGAAAACATTATTCAAAGTAGCAATCCAGCCGCTTCCATTTGTACACATACAGCCATACACCCGGTTTGCACAAGATGATGCCTGTAAAACTAACTTCTGGAGTACAGAGCCCCTAGAGGATGGCTCCGATCTTTCAGCTACGCCGGGTGCTGTGGGTGCTGTGCATGACTTTTCTCCAGCTTACCAGGCAGTACAAAAGTACAGCATCGTCGTCTGGAATGTCCTCGGAGCAAACCTCAGCGGTGGTTGTTACTGCCATCTCATCATCGTCCAACTGCACCTGCTCAAACAACGACATGAAGGACAGTCAGACAAGGAAAGGAGAGCTAAATCAAACTACTGTGCAGGCAGCAAATTTAGCCGGTGACAAATTCGGTCCAACTCCAAAAGAGAGGGAATTTGTCCAGTTGAAAATTTAGTCCATGGACCAAAACATGATAAATCGTATTGAAAACCTGGACAAATCGACATTATTTGTAACATGGAAATTGCGGACACAGGTTATGGGATCGAGTCCACCAACTAAGCCAGATTTTGAACAGCCAGACGCATAACCTGTGCCCACAATTTCCATGCTACAATTTTTTCCTTGGCTCACCATCTAAATCGACATTAGTCCGACATTTAAAAAAAGATGAAAAAAATACCGGACGTATATTTCTGTTCATACGGCATGGTGTATGAATATCTTGGGCATGACTAGTTTAATAGCAACCTCACCTGAGCCAACACGGCATGCACAACTGGCAACGCTGCTTCGTCACGGAGAGCGATATCTGGTTCGTGGGGCTCTTCATCACTGCCTTCCTCCTCCTTCTCTTCCTCTTCCGGTTCTTCAACATCTGCTCCGGGTATGTTGTGCTTATAGGGGACGTGTTCGTCTCCACTGTCAGGCGGGGAAATTGCATGTGCCTGTAGGAGTTTGCATGTATATGCAAGCACACGCATACAGACGAACACACACACATGCACACGCCACACCACGCTCGCACGCACACACACACACACACACACACACCCAGAGCACACAAGCACACTAGTATTGTCACTACAGACTCCAGCGCCTCTTTCTGGCACAAAGCATCGTTTCTTCATCAAATCGCAGCTACACGCTAGAGAATAGGGCTTGAAAGTGATGACGTCAAAAACGGCCAGGGAGTACTAAGTTGACAACAGATTTCTATTTTGGATCCACTAAGGTGTGACTTTGCTATTGCCTCAGTATGTGGGTGCATAGCAACCCACTCCTGTCGTATGCAGGGGTGACTTTTAGGCCTCATTTACACGACAACGATTGAAAAACGTTTTTCAATCGTTTTCGAAACGTTTTTGCTGTTTACACGAAAATGATAATCGTGTACACTGCAACATGTTTTTCGGCGCGCAATGGTCACGTGCAATAAGTTGGCCTGGCGCAGGCTGGCGGCGGCATGTTTTGAGTACAAGGCTCGTACTAGTAAAACGTTTTTGCCGTTTACACGAGAACGAAACGGAACGAAAACGATTGAAAAACACTTTGAAGCCGCTTTTTGTTTGAAACGTTTTTGAAACGTTTTTCAGCATTGTCGTGTAAACGCTCTTATCAAAATCTGTGGAAGCGTATTCTTTTGAAAACGTTTTTGACAAAAACGTTTTTCAATCGTTGTCGTGTAAACGAGGCCTTACTTCGCCACCGGTTGTAACCCCGCCCCCAGTAGCCAAATCAGTCAGTTTCACTGGCTACATCACCTTGCTGTGGGTAAGACCGCTTGAAATGTGCTTGGATCCATACAAAAACTGGATCCAAGTGGATCCAATTTTTGAATTTTTGAAATTGTTGCTATGCTGTGATGTAGCACTTTCAAGCCCTATAGAGTAAGCCCAGAACAAGGACTGTACCAGGATACCTCCACAAAGTGACTAACTCTACGACATATCCCTATTGTTACTTTTCTTTACTTATTTTCCTCACAACCTCTCTTTATCTGCCGTGTTTGGCTAACACCCACTTTCTTCACAATGGCCAGTGTTCCCACTGAGTCTTAAAAAGTCTTGAAATGTTGCAATAAATATATGAAAGATAAATCACATAAGTACTAGGGCATTTACAACACAGTTTGTGACTTGCTCACAGGTGTATATGACTTCCCGCCCGGCATGCTTCGACCTAAGAAAGGGCCAGACTTCGATGGTGCAGGGATGGTTAAGCTTGCATCCTGGGATATGCCTGCTACTTCAGCATGGATGCACACGTTGCATGGTGAGAAACACACTGAAGTACTTTACTTCATGCTCAGAGGAAGTTCCAGTGTCTTCAGTTTCACACGCCATGCACGGGCGCTGCAAAATGACTCCTAAATCCTACTTTGAAATTCCGTACATCAGCAATCTTGCTCGATTCCGTAGCCTATCATCTACTTTGCGCAATACACCCTTATGCAGTCTGCAGTACTCACCGGCGCAACAGGCAAGTTGTACTCCCTGCCGGTATCCATCGGGAGTTCTGGCTCGGATCCTGTTTCATCGTCAACGGCACACTGTCAGCAACAAAGCAACGCAAAGCACAGTAGTCACAAAGTCACAGGTATGCGAGGGCCAAGTGCACCGCCGTGTACACTGGCACACACCATGAGTCAGAGCCACCACCGGAGCTGTAGAACTAGAGGAGTGAGCACAGGTGCCTCCTATACTCGTCCAAGACAGTGCAAGCTGTTACTATAGGTCACTGAGGTACACACCACAGAACGCTATATTGAAGTGGGCCGTGCGCGTGAAGACACGCTGCATTCGTGTTGCAGCTTGACCAGGGTATAAGTAATTAATTGGAATGCTGAGCCAACGGTCAGATGTTGCTATATACTTGAATCTGGGCAGCAGACAAACTGCATGGATTTTTAAATAACCCAGGGCTAAGGAGATCAAAACCTGCACCGCCTCAGGCTGAGCAAGGGATTGCAAAAGCTGCGGGGTCTCCTTGCATTCCATGACCACCCGTCCGCCAACTGGCAGGGACATTGCCACAATGAGACAGGTGGCCAGTGCAGGGTGTGGACAAGAGCCTTACCTCACCCGCCTAGCAATACAGCAGTAGCGGCACACTGAGCGGCAATTGAGCGTGATCACACCATGCGCGACGGCAAATGCATGCACGCACACGGCAATCCCCGCCAGCGAGTGGCAGCACACCAGACAGCCAGACTAGAATTACAGCGGCAGCAGGGATGCCAATGGGTTTCCCCCCAAGTGCGTCACCCATGGCAGCTAACTGACCAGGGAAGCCAAGGCTGCCTTTAGGTCAGTGCCCAGATCCGTATAGTTTCTCTCCACACTCTGAAACAGCAGCAAAAGAAAGCAGAGGACAGCACCACGCATTAGGTCGGGGCTCTGGGACTCAAGAAGCCAAAAGTGACCACTAGCCCCATGTACCCTGCTTCAAGTCTAAGCCTAGGACAACCAACACAGAGCAGTAGTGGGCAATGCCATGGGGCTGTCAGCTAGAGTTGTTGCCCGCCCCTAGGGTGCTATGCACTGTCACAGCCCCATGGCGTTGCAGGGCTGCATTTAGCAATAAGACTAGCCAGTACTGACAAATATAGAACACTGTGGTGTTTTGCAAAGAATGTTCCTTTACAAATACGTATTTATGGTCTCAGTATCCTCGGGCTGCGTGGAGTACTCAACGTCCACGGTGACAGATCAGGCACTTTGTACTGGACACAGCAATGGCACAACTAAGCCTCTCTAGGAAAGTGGAGCCGCAAAAACACACTTGGCTGTAAGCCGCAACTGTTTTTGTTTATGTCGACCTTGCAGTCCCTTGGCCCAGTGCATGGTACTCTAGCCCAGGGCAGTGTACAGCTGTGCTTACATCAATCAGTTTGAGCACGCACGAAAGTTGGTACTGGTCACCTGCGTGTGCCTGGCCCGCCAGGCTGCAAGTGCAAGACCAGCTAATACACGTACAGTACTATGTGATGATGGTATTTTCGGTTGAGCGTTAAATAATTCGGCATTTTCAGTAAAGAACAAGACACGTACACTGAGGCTGTACCTAAAACGGAGAGCACTCCATGTTAAGTATTACCACTATGAGGCTGGGATGCCAAGTAATCATTTCGTTTAAAAAATGGATTCGGACCGAGCTGAACTTAGATCACCAAATTATTTTCTACCAAGACAGTGTTCTCACTGCTACAGTGTTTGATAGGAGCCCAGCACGTGCATGCTGCCTAACTTGTAGGGGTTTCCCCCAGCTGTCATCACCATGATTCAGTCACACATGCCACTCTTCTCCATGTACCAGCACTTGGCACCAGCACTCCACAAATAATATACCAACACTGCAACAGACAGCATTTTGCCAATAATATTTTGGCAGCATTCCACACACCCCCAGTGAACACCGTAGGCTCCAGGTACCCCCAGCTCAGTAGGACTCCACATGACCCCAGTCAGCACTCCAGGTACCCCCAGCTAGGACTCCACATGACCCCAGTCAGCACTCCACAATAGTCAATATCCCCAGTCAGCACTCCACATGACCCCAGTCAGCACTACGCACATCCCCAGTCAGCACTCCACAATCATCATATCAGTGGTCAGCACTCGTACTCCAGGTATCCCCCGTACTCCAGGTATCCCCATGCCCATCGCCCAGTATGGTGCAGTCAGCATTCCATGCCCATGTACCAGCAGCAGTCAGCAGGACAGCAGTGCTGTCAGTACATGATGCAATACTGGAACTGCCATCCAGGCACGTGCACTGCTCGCTGACTGATTGGGTGGCATGGCTGGCATTTTCCGGGAGAAACACGGGTGCCATATTATGGGACCTTGACTCATGATACCGGTACCACTGGCACTGGAGTCAGGGAGGTTTGAGCCTTCTACTGCATCTCAGACAGGTTGATAGTGGTGTGGGTTACTTCCAATTCCAAAGAGTGCTAACTTTATACTTGAAGTACTACTTTTACATGCAGACAATCACTGTGAGACGGTAGCTGCGCTGATGCGAAGGCACGAAATGGCCGCGGTCTCTGTAAAACTAAAAGCAACCAATTTCTCAGTCTTGCAGTGAGAACGAAGTTTGCTGTTTCCCTCAGTTCAAATGATGCACGTGTGTGTGTGTGTGTGTTTGCGTGCATGTGCAGTGCATGTCCTAAAAGCTGAAGTTCTTTATTTCGCAGAAAAGAAGTACACGGCTGTACTTCAAAGTACACTTCAATAGCGCAGTCACTCATCCAACCAGTGCTGCACCGTGCAGCTGTCTAGTAGTACCGGCGATTTCAAGCGTTTGGGACATTGTGTATGCCGGTCCCAGCGCAGCAGCGCTTGTATCACAACTCCTTGCTGTGTACTAGTACTACAGACTGTCAGTGCAGTGTGTAGCACTGACAACTATATACATGTACCATGTGTACTGTGATTTCACAAATCAGTGTCGGTGTACAATCATGTACATGTATTTATATTTTCGGTACTTTTGATGCATCCGTCTTTCATTCTAATACTAGCAGTAGTACCTAAAATTTCAAACACTGACACATTTCGAGTAACCATAGTCCAATGACTTGTATTACACGATACAACATGCTAACATCAATGACATGGTTCTGATCATGAGACAAAATGACTATGTAGTGCGCGCGAAAGTCGCTTGAAAACGATCGGTATCACCAACATTACGCTATGTCGTAATTTACTACAAATAATTCCAAGCTAACGCTCAGTCGCGTCCACACACTATGTGGAACTAGAAAAACGTTCATCCATCGTGACACTGACAGTCACGAAAATGTAGTGGCAAAACATGTTTGTTTACGGTGCCCTTGCTCTGTCATGCTCATGCTAATACATAATTTACACGGTAAGAAAACAATCAGAAACGCCATAGTTTACGGGCACAACGAGCCATACCTGAAGAGCTGGGTGCGCATCCAGAGCCGGTGGTGGCAATCGCGATGTTGCTGCTGATAATTGCCGCCAGACCAAGAGGGCCACGCCGTGTTTTTCTATCTCCAGCTTTTCCAGCGCTTCTTCGAGAATAGAGGTCGTCTGGGGTCGTGGGTAGCCTCTGTTGTAACCCGCTGGTAATTCGCGCACAGCGTGCAGGCAGGACAAAAATGAATCATTTCCATATTGGTCACGTCCGGAAAATGGAGTGAAGACCCGATTGGCCACTTTCCTCAAGTTTTCGACTTCCAGCAAGGCGGCAACTGCGACCAGCACCGACTGGTTGGCGCTAGAAAGTTCCGCCTCAGGTTTCTTTGCATCTCTCAGATCTGGTTTTGGGCCAGCCTCCAGCTCAAGCAGTTGAATGAAGTGCTTTTGCAAAATGTCACGCAAAAGCCACGGTGAGTGACTGGATTGTTTTGATTCTGCCATGGCGAATCCTGCAGCTAGGTAGATGGCATATGGAAGCTATTCACGAGAGATGAAGTAACTATCCACAACCTTGGGATGAGCAAGACGCTGACGAGTCTGTTGTTTTTGGTAGTTGGCGACGTCCAACAGACGCACTATGCAATGACGACTGTCCAGTGCTGAGTGATTGCAACGTGGAACGTGTTGTGACCTCATTATGTGTGATCTTGATGACAACATACAATCACTCGACTCGCACATGCCATGGGCCACGGGCCACGGCTACGCGGTGTTGAATGGTTGACTGCTCCACGTGCAAGCGCTGCAAAGCGAGGCTAGCCGGCTAGCCTACCGTCGTACCGACCATACGTAGATCTACCGAGCAAGCCTCGAGATCCGCTCCGCCAAGTCAAGTGCCATACATGTACTAGTACTAGTACAGTGTACTACCATGTACTACCATGTACTACCGTCTATACGCTAGTGGTGCGCATGTGATAGAAACTGTCAACAGAGATATACAGACAGTCCTCCACTCCAGCACGGGCAGCCAGCAGTATGCTTGGCCAGCTGAATTGGGAAGGACGTTTGCGGCTCTGGATATTCCTCAGCTATACTATACTAGGAGTTCGTCCTGAGAGGCTACCACTAGGCATCCATGCAGTGATCAGTTAAAAGTTGTAAGTGATTTGGTCATGTGATCTATTGTTTGCTATGATGATGACATGAGGCCATGTGGCAGCTTCTTGTGGACAGGTTTTGATATCATTGGCCACTGTAGTGTACAAACAATACATAACAGGAGGAGTCAGTGAACCATCATGGTATCATGACATGCCACGATCGCATAATGGCTATGTACCACCATATTATGTACATGGCAGTGCTGGAAGTACAAAGCAAGCCCTGTGTGTCGTGCTGCTCCTACGCTGAATAGTGTTTGCCAAGTGGCAAGTGCCAAACAATTTATCACCGCCAGGGAGGGGGCCAGGAGGCAGACGCAGCCAACAGCAGGATGTCATTTTAGGTCCCAGTTGGGCCCTGTCTGAGGCCGGATGAGGTGATAATGGATGGCTGCTCTAAATCTAATGCTGATTGCCAAGGAGTATGGTTTTGCCAGTACAAGGCCGACCACCCACACTAGCAGTCAGCGGCACTGTGC